TTAGTGGAATAGGTTATTGAACTGCACGTCTCTTACTTGACTTCCAGCTCTAGAAGTTCATAGTTCTGTTTTTCTGATTTTTAAAATATCTTGGGATCTTTCGAAAGCATAGTAGCTGTGTGTGCATGTGTAGTACCATATGCTAGCAACTAGTCATCATCAATACGGTCAAATTTATTAAAGCTTGATATGAATAAATGGTACAATAAATCAAGAAATATTATATTTGAATGAAGCCTCAAAAACAAGTGTTTAACAAATACATGATTAGATGGTCTCCATCCTTACATTGAAAATGTTATTCTACTCATTTGAGAAAGACTTCATGAAAGGAGTGGAATTTGAAGGAATTTTTAAATTTTTGGTTTATCCTTAGATGCCCAGAAGAGGTTTGTGTAACTTAACACTGCCATGTTTCCATGGCTTTCCGGGTAAAAAGAGGGAATTTAAATGCTTTCCTTGCTGAGTACTAAGAAAAACATATTTTCCTACCCTTTTAAGAAGAATTAGTGAAATTATGTTAGAAAGAGCATTACCAAATCAGATGTCCTGCCTATTTAAATTTTACCCATGTAATTATGTGTTTATAATCCACTTCCGAATTGAATGGATACATATATTCTTTTAAAAATCTGCACAAACATTATCACAAGTCCTAATTAGACGATTACAAGCTACCATTCATGATTTGGAGTTGTATGGTATTTTGGATAAAATATAAAACAAATTATAAATACCTTAAAAGAACAGATTGAATAGAAATATTTATTAGGAACATAAACAAGATGAGGCAAATCCCCAAGAACATGCAAAATGAACTAATGCACCATGCTAATAAGAATCAAAGGGTTACATGAAAGTGTGCACGTGAGTGACACTAATATTGCCTTTCATGGCCCCTTAACTAGCCGCTTAAAATTTGACCAGCTTTTGTTTTTTCCATTGAAGAAATTTAAAAAAAGAAAATATCACTATTGAATATAATCAGCTTGCTCTCTGCCTTGTCTTTGTGGACCTACAAAATCCAGACATAATGTCTAATATGGAAATTTTGATCTCCTTGATCTTTCTGACAGAATTAAAAGGAGAGTAGAAGATTGGGCTGTATGGCATTGCATGTTGCCTCAAACATCACTTTTTTTTCTATTGAGAATTTCCAAAGAATGGCATAAACCAGGATACTGCAGTTATAGGCCAAATTTCGTAATAGTGTATGGTATCTCCTGATTAAATGTGGAGAGATGAGTTCTTACAGTGAAGAAGTCACATTCTAGGTAGCATTAGAATATTTAGAGTAAATTTCAACATGTTCTTCCTACTCTTTATTTCGCTTTAGGGATTCTTACCTCCAGGAGAGATGTAGAAACAGTTGAGTTGAGCTTCATGCACCAAAGTCCCCTTAAATTTGACCTCCGTATCAGCAGACAGGTGGCTGGGAAGCGGCTGGTATGCAGGCGTACCAGGCTGAACGAATGCTCGAAGCATTGTGAATTTCCAGATGTATATTGGTTGATTTTTAAAACTAAATAATTATCCTGCTCATGAGCTCTTGTAATTTTTTAAAACCCAGAAGCCATTTCCGCAGTAACATTTCAGTGCCACAGAAGTTTACGTGGCCATATCACATCGCTGCAAGTTTAGGTTGCAGTAATTACTTTAAGTTTTAGAATTCTAAAAAACAAAACAAAACACACACACAAAAACACCTTCTTGCTTGATTCTTTTCAACCTTATATTTTCTGTCTTCCCTGCTCTGCTCTCTGCCTATGTACGGGTGGGCCTCTCACCCAGTGGCTTTACGGGAAAACTTGGATTGCAATGTGAACTTCATGGTTTCTGTCAGCCTGTCAGCTCATCACCTCCCTAAGGCATGATGATCTCTGGTTTTTCTATATCTCCACAGACTGCTTTGATTGACCCTCTTGTGTGAAAGAGTGATAGGTTTGTCCAGGGGTTGGTAGACCTTAGAGCAAAGAGGCAGGAAACTTCAGTTGGAATGTGTACTTTAATGGAATTCACAGCCTCTTTCCCAGGGGAATGCAGCTCAAGTTTCAAAACTATTTTAGGGAGAAGAAAGTTAGGCCCAGTTCTACATTTTATCTTGGTGCCACTTTTCAGTAACCAGAACTGTTGGTTAATGTTTTCTTCCCCCTCTTGGCTGTTTAAATTTTCTATCCAGACTAAACTGGGATCAAAAGAGTTATCTCAAAATGATCCCATTTTAATTTTTAAAGCCATGCTGCTTTAGAGATAAATGGTTGGGACCTAAAGAAGTCTTCACAATGTCTTAAATAATTACTGCAAACCCAATCTTTCCTTCCTTTTGCTTTGACATTTGAGAGATGTTCCATACCATTTTCCCTCCCTACATCTGCATTTCCGTTATCTCCTGGTAGTGACAGTGTCAAACTGCTCTTCTATTTGTATCAACAGTTTCCTTGGCATCCCACCCTATGAAAACCTAATTCCTTATGTGAGATGCCACAAATGTATAATATCAAACAAAAGACACCCATAATATTTCTATTAATAGAGCCCACTCAAGAGACAACAATGGCCGGTTTTTCCTCTGCCACTGGGCCTTGGGTTTCTGAGTTATGCTCTGTTTTTCTCTCTTACGGCCACCTTTCTCCTTTCATCGTTTTGGAAAAGGCAGTCTTCAGGGAAAGAAAACTTGCACTGTAACTAAAACAATAGATCAGGCTCCTAGTTTTGTAACTAAGGTTGAAGTCACCAAGACACACAAACATATTCAGATTTATTAGTAGTTGAATGTCAGTGATCCAATCTGCTTTGACTTCAAGAACATAAGGTAGGCAGGTTAGTGTAGGAATCTATGTAGGGAATCAGAGTAGGGAATTATTTTGATGGACTGGAAGCAACCTTGAATATGAAGTTTCAAGATACACATTTAGTAATCTGAAGATGAAAGAATTTTGTTCTGATGTAAAAGCTCTCATAGCACATGGACTTCAGAACTCAGATGTTCTTTAAAAAAAAAAAATGTCAGTATACCAAGTGGGAAAATATCTATATATTTCCATCTAAGAGGTAAAATGGTCCTGTACAAGAAAAAACTGGAATTTTTTCCCTCACTTCCCCTCCCCACCACCCACCATTCACATGCAGGTAGGTAAGATAAAAGATTTCTGGTACACTGATAATTGCAAAACAAAGTTTAAAGCCCTATTGCCACCTCTTGCCAAGTTAGTAATTCAGATTCATAGGTTCCTCTAAGATATCTGCTGAAAATAGCACTATAAAGACATTTCTTGTACCTGTTGATATCTGAACTATTACTGACAAGAAGCAGAAATTCCATGCCCAGATACTGATCAGGTAAGAGGGGAAACAAAGATGTAGTTAGACTATCACAGCTGGCCTTTTTTTGTTTGTTTGTTTTTGTTTTTTGAGAAGGAGTCTCTCCCTGTCACCAGATGGAGTGCAGTGGTACAATCTTTGCTCACTTCAGCCTCTGCTTCCTGGGTTCAAGCTATTCTCCTGCCTCAGCCTCCTGAGTAGCTGGGATTACAGGCATGTACCACCATACCCAGCTAATTTTTGTATTTTTAGTAGAGACGGGTTTCACCATGTTGGCCAGGATGGTCTCGATCTCTTGACCTCGTGATTTGCCTACCTTGGCCTCCCAAAGTGCTGGGATTACAGGTGTGAGCCACCACGCCCAGCCTTATCACAGCTGTTTTAACAGCAAAAGACTATTAATATAATTACATGTTTGGAAAGTTTGAATTTAAAGTTTTTTTCCCTTTTAAAAACATGTTTTGTCAGTTTTCATTGCCCCATCATAACATTGTTGCTATTTTCAGTGAAGATTTTTTAAATGTGTATGTAGTTAATGCATTATTTACATGATTAATGCCATCAGATCCTCAACTAGATATTTATAAATGTCTTTTGGAGCTGTTTCAGCCTTTGCTATAAAAATGATGTAGATAGGCACATATAAAATATACAACTTACTTGAACATTATTAAATGATTCAATAGCAGCTATATTATGTCACAGTTTCTTTCATTACTCAATGGTGAAATCATAGTATATCTAATCTTTGAGCAGTTTTAAATTTTCTGTACAGACATTTTGAAGCCAGAGATTTATTAAATTTTATTTTTTCCCATGGCCTATCCCTAACTTACAGCTTACAAAAGCCAGTTTTTCAGTTAACATGTTCCTGAGAGAAGAAGGGGAGGGAGGCTTCTAGGCATAATTTGAGTATCAGGCTTCTGAATATTTAAAAATAAAGATGAAATGTTTTTATGAAATGTGCACATGGAGTGTAGAAACAATGATATCTTGAAGCCAGGAAGTTTAGAAATTCTGATTTCATTTTCAGTTCTGCAGTCATTTGTTTAGGAAGATTTTACCAAATGCCCAATGTGTTCAGGTGCTATATTTTTAAGGAGAACACAGTTTATTCAATATGTGTATCTGTGTGTGGGTGTGTGTCTTTGCACAAATCCACCACAGATTTCTCTGCGGACTTATATTTTGATGCTGTTTTTTTGTTTTGTTTTGTTTTGTTTTGTTTTGTTTTCGAGACAGAGTTTCGCTCTTTTCGCCCAGGCTGGAGTGTAATGGCACGATCTTTCGCTTACTGCAAGCTCCACCTCCCAGGTTCAAGCGATTCTCCTGCTTCTGCATCCTGAGTAGCTGGGATCACAGGCACCCACCATCATGCCTGGCTAATTCTTTTTTGTATTTTTAGTAGAGATGGGTTTTACCATGTTGGCCAGGCTGGTCTTGAATTCCTGATTTAGGCGATCCCAAAGTACTGGGATTACAAGTATGAGCCACTGTGCGCCTGGTCCAATACTGTATTTTTGAGATTTAACCCCAATGATAGCTTTTATTTATTCAATAATTATTGAATAAATCAATTTAATACATGGATTATCATGTATTTTAAGATGGAAAAGGAAATTTTTTTCTATTTTGTAGTTTCGAAGATGCTCATAATTTGTTTGATGTGTTTTTTGCAGTGTCCATCTATGGAATTTGGTTTTATGATAAAGAAGAATGCCAAAGAATTGCAGAGCTTATGAAAAAGTAAGTGCTAAAAGGCTAAATATTTTTTAGGACCTGGTGCTTTCATTTGTATTTCTACAAATGTATGTATAATACTATATGTAAAATATGTATGTAATGTATGTAAAAACTATAATCTTAACAGAATATATCTCCCACAGCAATTCTTTTCACAGTGGTTAGGCAGACATTTAGTATTAATTAATAAATGAGAAGCAACTTGCCACGTTTTAACTAGGTAATATTTATCATCTGGAATGACTCACATTTTCCTGTCTCTGTGAAATATATATGAATTGTTCCAGATGGCAGTTTTCTTTAATATTTTCATTTATAAATTAGCAGTTCTTTGCTCTGAAAAGTTATTGACATGACTGTCAGTAAAAGGAACATTCAGAGCCATCCTAAAAGCCTGCTCAGGATTCTGTAAAATCTTTCATTTCCTTCCTCCCCCAAATGCTTTTCTTTAACTGTTACACATGTTTGTGGAAGCTCAGAATTTCCTCCCATGTCTCAGACACTGAGTACTTAGGATAGTCTTTATTTTCAAACTTCTTAAAATTGCTGAGTTACTATTAGCTCAGTGATCAGTCAACCATCTCTCTCTTCCTTGTTACTAGTCTCTTTCTTTTTTTTTTTGAGACAGAACCTTGCTCTGTCACCCAGGCTGGAGTGTAATGGCACAATCTCTGCTCACTGCAACCTCCACCTCCTGGGTTCAAGTGATTCTCCTGCCTCGGCCTCCTGAGTACCTGGGATTACAGGTGTGCACCACCATGCCTGGCTAATTTTTTGTATTTTTAGTAGAGAGGGGGTTTCACCACGTTAGCCATGCTGGTCTCCAACTCCTGACCTTGTACCTCGGCCTCCCAAAGTACTGGGATTACAGGTGTGAACCACCACGCCCAGCCTAGTCTCTTTCTTTTAATCTCATGATACCTTGTGATTTGTCCCATTCTGCATTTTGGGTAACTTCAAAATTGCTGTCTGTCTTTTCCACTCTTGGCTTCCCTGATTGAATTGAGAGGGGAGGGCTTGCTCTCTGCTCTGCAATTGGTTGACTGATCAATTCTTGAGCCGAGGGCCTGCTCATGGTGAGGCAGTTATTTCCCTGCCATTTATGGGGATGGGTAAGAGCCTCAGAGTATGATGAGTTTCCTGCATGTGCTGTGTCACAGCCTGGGACTGGACGCAGCCAAGCACATAGGATGACTGCTACCACATGGGTCTGACACTGCAGCTCTGTCTGCAGATGAATCAATCCCCACTTTTAAATCCTGGAGCAATGAAATGATTAGAAAGTGACCTCATGGAAAGGAAAAACAGGGAGCACCTTTTAAGAAATAAGATAGATTCCTGAAAGTCTAGCTAGAGATAGCTAATTTTAGGTAAGTAGCTCAAGGCGCAGATGGTGATTAAGTGTATTCAAACTGATATTTACCACTGTAACAGCTAGTTCCTAGAACAGTCATGGTACTGTAACTTGTGCAGCAGATAATAATAGTAAGATTTCATACAGATTAAAAAATACCCTGTAGCTCAGCCAAGAGGCCATGTTAAAGTTGTCAGCATTCTGCAGTAATTATCCAACAGCTCTGGCAGGAAATTGATTATTTACTAGCAGTAAGCAGCTGATTTGTGTGGATTCAGACCCCTTCCCCAGTTAGAATAAAGTCTCTCAGTAAGTTCTCAGATCTTTGTTACCATAAACTTCATGGCAATAATAAGAATGTTAGCTGGAAGTCACAGCACATAAAGGGAATGTGTATTTTGCGAGGTGATAGGAGCAATCTGGTCTCTCTTCTGTGTATTTTGCTAGGTGATAGGAGCAATCTGGTCTCTCTTCTGTATTGCTTTTCAGGCAACAGAAGAACTCATTGCTCTTAAGTGTTTTTTTAAATGGCCCCTCTTCTCAGGGTTAGAATGGAATCTTTACCATGTTTTGAAACTGCCAGAGAACTACAGGATTTGAGTAGCTAGATCAACCTTGCTTTGACTTCAAGGCTGTATGTGAAGTGGGGGGTACTTTCCTCATTATTTGAGAACTCTAAATTGGGTTTCCTTAGCAACTAATGAGAGCATCCTTCCGAATGTACTATGTGAGGGGTTGGCAGACTCTTCTGAAAGGGATCAGAGAGTGAGTATTTTAGGCTTTGCGGTCCATAGGATTTCTGTTCCAACTATAGAATTCCACCTTTGTAATGCGAAAGCAGCCATAAACAATACGTAAACAAGTGGCATGGCTGTGTTGAGCATGGATGTGTTTGTGACCTTCTTTACGAAAACAGGTGGTGGGCTGGAATTGGCTTACAGGTTTGCTGACTCCTACCCTAGATTCACCTACGTAGTCAGTGAATTCAGGACCTCAACTCTCATTTTTCTCCTTTAAATTCCTGAGCAGCCTTATTTCTACTATGGTTGTAACAGGATGAAGACAACTAGGTGAGAACTGGGATGGTTTTAAACACTGTTTGTATTGAATTGGTTTTTCTTGTGTGGACGTTCCCCCCTGTTTTTCTAGCCTAACTCAGTATGAACAGTTGAAAGCCCATCAGGGAACTGGAGCGGGAATCTCCCCAATGATCCTCAATTCAGGAGAGGGCAAAGAAGTAGATATCTTACAAATGCTCATCAAGGCCAAAGATGAATACACAAAGGTGAGTATTTGCCCTTCCTTGTGTTGCATACACACTTCAGTTCCACAGTGGGAATATTCTTGTTTAGAAAGAGTAGGTGCTTTGGGTCCTGTGCCTTCCACCAAACAAAATTATATTACAAATTAAAAAATTTGCTTTTAGTAAGCTAAAGAAAATGGTTTGCCTTTAAGTGGATTAAAAAATAGCCTGAGAAATCAATAGCCTTCATATATACAAATAGAAGACCTACTGTGAGACCCCAGTTTACAGTAGCAACAAATGAATATAAAATTCTTTGCAATAAAATTTACAAGAAATGGGCAAAACCTATATAAAGAAAATGTTTAAAAACTTCTACAAGGCATGATAAAAGACTTGAACAAACGGAAATATGTGCCCTGTTAGATAAAAAGATTGAACATAAAGTTCTTAGTTCTCCTTAAATCTGTACATTTAAGGTGATCACTAAATAAATACCACTGGTTTATTTTCCCCTCCCCCTCCCCTTCCCCCTTCTGCCTTACTCTGTAATCCAGACAAGTTGACTATAAGGTTCATGGGAAGAAATATGCAAGAAAGAATAGCTGGGAAAATCCTGGCATAGAAGAGTGATATTAGCAGGAACTGGAGGTGGGGGAGATGAAAGGAGGGATGGAGCGAGCTCTCCCTGATTTTAAAACATTGAAGCTTAAACATTTCAAACAGTATCATGTTGTTGGTATTGATACCTAACAGCCCAATAGACCAGTGGGGCAGATTTAAGATTCTAAATCTAGGATTAAATCCAATTGTGTATGAAATCTAGGATATGATAAAGATGATAATCTCAAGTCAGCTATTTGAGTGAATTCTTAAATAAATGTATTGGGGTAACTGGTAGCCATTTGGAAAAATACAAAATTGAGTCTGTACCTCATGCTGTACACCAGGATAAATTCCAAATGTATTAGAAATTTAAATGTAAAAATATAATGATTCAGGCACCAGAAGAAAATTTGTATGGATTTCTTTATAATCTAGGAAAAGAGAAGTATTTCCGTTATGTCTTAAAACCCAAAAGCAATTAATTAAACTACATAAAAATAAAAATGTTTTATAAGGCTTAAATATAATGTAAGCAAATAGAAAGAAACAAAAACAACTGACAAAAAAATTGTTTATACCACAATAACAGGAAGTTATTTTATGAAGAGCTCCTAAAAATTGAGAAGTACAAAATTAACACTAGAAAATGGGCAAAAATAATTTTTTTTAAAATTATAGAATTTGAAAACTAGCTGAAATAAATGTATGTAATTGAATATTATATTATGACATAATTAGTTAGTAAAAAATTAGAGTGACTTCAAAACCTGGTGCTTGAACTGAACACTCTTAGTGGGTTATATTTTAAGAATAAAAAGAACTGCAAGAAATCATAAACTTCATTCATTGGTTTTATTGTTTGTAGCAATGTTGGCATTTTAATTTTTCTACTGTTGGCATTGTAATTTTTCTACTGTTGTAGATATAATAAATAAGAAATTATATAAACATAGTTGGAACCAAAACCTTAGTGTAAGGGGAAAAGAATCAAATACAATGAGTTAAAACTGTATAAGATTAAGTGGAAATATCAGAATTAGATCATGTTTTGTTTCGTAGGTATGAAACAAAAAATAGAGTTTCTAACTCTTGCCCTGAAAGGACATAGAAATAAAAGTGACTAACTCAGTAGCAATAAGCATCTATATTGCCCAGATTGTTATTTCTAAATATTACTTCTTCCTAAAAGGTATCAGGACTCTTTAAAGAAATTTCGGATTCCAGGTCTGGAATAGTAAAACCAGCAGGGTCATGTGAAAGGGCACAGTGATCAGCTGGGCACAGTGATCAGCTTCAAGGACACTGACCAGATCATTAAATTCTAACATCAACAGGAATGACTACAATGGATTAAAACACACTGAATGTATAAAAATTTACGAGTTCAGGGCCGGGCACGGTGGCTCATGCCTGTAATCCCAGCACTTTGGGAGGCCGAGGTGGGTGGATCACGAGGTCAAGAGACCGAGACCATCCTGGTCAACATAATGAAACGCTGTCTCTACTAAAAATACAAAAAATTAGCTGGGCATGGTGGCGTGTGCCTGTAACTCCAGCTACTCAGGAGACTGAGGCAGGAGAATTGCTTGAACCCAGGAGGTGGAGGTTGCGGTGAGCCAAGATCGTGCCATTGCACTCCAGCCTGGGTAACGAGCAAAATTAAAAAAAAAAATTTACGAGTTCATGGTAATGAGAAAGAGAGCAGGCAAACCAAACATATAAAACAAAACAAAATAATTATTTGTTATCCTTTGAAGGTGCTAAGGCACCAACTCCTTCCTCTGAAAATTGGTAATTAATGGGAATGAATTAAGCTTTTATCCTGCCTGCCCTAAAGGGACTAGATCTCGGAGTAATCAAACAGCCATGATCAATGAGGGAGAGCTCTTCTCTACCAACTCCAGCTAGTACATGTGGAGGGAATAATAGAACTTAAAGACACTCTGCTTAAAATAATTGACTCAGGCAGTGATCATCAGTAATATTAATTACTATGGAAATTAATATTATGGGAATATTAAATAAACAATAAAACCAATATAATGTTATGGGAAAGACTGATAGAAACTTGACAGTGGAAGGTTCAGGCTGCCTCCACCTGAACCCCAGTGATTATCATCATTAAAAGTTAAATAAGCAGACATTCTGGCTTCCCAACGTGATAAGATGTCAAATGGACAGCACCATCTTGAAATATTCTGGCCCAAAGAGTTGATCCTGAATCTCATGAAACCTTGAGCTCTAGCTTTTTAGTTTCAGAAAGTGAAAGTGAGTGGGGAGTGAGGGGAGAACAGGTAGAAAAACAAATTAAATGATGCCAAGAGGAAGAAATCAGAAAAACCCTGAATGAAATGGCACAGATGGGCAGTTGGATAAGTTTCTTTAACTTGCCTCCGCCTTGATTATGCGCTTCTTGAACAAAGAACAACCTTTATTCATCTTCATATCCCTTGTTGTCTTCAAAGTACTTAGCACATGATGAGTGCTAAATAATGGCTATTGAATGAAGGACGGAATATGAATGTGAATGAGCCACAGTTTAATTATCCTCCTAGTGTGTGGCCTGAACAGAGATGCCTTAATCTCAGCTTCAGACAGTAACGACTATTTCTATGTTCGTTTTGTGTGTTTTTTTTTAATTCTTCAAAAGTCATTAAAATGTATTATGATGACTTGGCAACTAGTTGACTAATTAATTATTTTATTTATTAATTATACTACATTATGCACACTGAAGATTAATCTTTAAAAGGTGACATTTCTGCCCTCTGGGAACTTAATGTTCTGTGAAGACAGCATAACAATGGTAAATAAATAATAAGTAGAAATATTTAACAAAATTATTTTCTTTTCTTTCTCTCCCTCCTCTCAACACACACATACTTTGTGTTGTTTGTGTTTTTTATCTTCTATATGTTACAACGTATTGACATCTTAAAAACCTTTCTGGCTGGAGAGACTGCCCCTCCTAGGACCAGCCAGTTTTCAGAGCTAGCAAAGGGCTTGGCCGGGAATACATCTTTAATAGGCACGCTAGCCAATCCTGAGCCATACGTATCTCCTCTGTCTGGCCTGTACAATATTTCTCTGCCTTAGTCATCCCAGGGCCAGGTACCCAGCAACTAGGAACCACTCATACAGTTTAGAGCCTGCTGGAGTTATTCAAACTGGATAATCTTAACCTGTTTACCATGCCCTGCCTTGCCTTTTTTGAGGAAATCCAGTAAAGGCTCTAGCCTACTCCTTCCCCTTGCTGCTGAGCCCTGAGGCTTCCACATGTGGCCCTGGGCAGCGTGGCATGCCTCTTGTCTCCAGGACCTGTGAGTATAATAAACTTTGTTTTCCTGAGACTCTCCTGTGTCTCCTCTGTGGCCTCACCTGAGTGACCATCACATAAATACTCTCTGTCTCTCAGAAACACTCATATATGGTTCTGGAGATTGAATTTAGGACATCACTTTATATTATACCTATATCTTGGAATATTTTTCCCCTTATTTTATTTACCCTTCAGAATTTACATATCCTTTAAGGCTCAGTAAAGATACTTTTTACATGGAGTTTTCCCAGATCCCTTCAGTCAAATTAATTATTTTTCCCAGTGAACTCAGTCTATTATCGTTTAAAACTTATTTTGTTCTTCCTCATTTATTACATTAAGTCAACTTATCTCAGTACACTGTAAACACTGTAAGCGCTGAAGTTAAAACAATGTCTGTTCATCTTTATGCCCTCACAGATTTGTTATAATGTTGACATGAAATACAGATACTTAATTTGTGTATAGACTGTGTTTTTCAATATATTTAAACATCAAATATATTCCCTCCAGCTAGTACATCAAATATATGCTGTTATATGTGTAATATCAATTGCTCCAGCTGTGAAATAAATAATAGAAGAAATTGTTTCTTCTTCCCTTAGCAGCCAGATGATGTGATACCATGTCCCAGGACACCTGCATGATCAAGCTACTTTCCTAGTCGTCATTTTTCTTGGTTTGTCATTGCCCAGTACAGGAGCAGTGCCCCTTGGAGTCTTCAGGCTTTCCCTAAGAAGGCCTCAGATTATTCTTCTAGCCCTACTACCCTCTACGAATGTTTGAAACTCCTGCCAGAGTACCAATTTTGCTTCCTGAGAGTGCCTTTTCTCATACTATTCCCTCCTCTTCTTCACCCATCAAAATATGATCAATCTTTCAGGGCCTGCTTCAGATGTTCTTTTTCCATCACCTTATTTCTGACCTGCCTAAGGACGTGTATATTCTCCCTGCTAGCTTCCAGAGCCTTCTATTTGGAAGGAGCATTCCATCGCTTTCTTACATTCACGCTGTCTGCACCCGCACACACGTTTCAGAAAAAGTGGAGATCTTGAGTAGGGTGGTTCTGAATAGAAGAAGGGGGGCAAAATGGAAAGGTGATGAGCGAGAAAGAAAACAGAATCTTTCTTCTGAGTGCTTGTTGGGAAGCGAGTCTCCATTGCTGAAAGTGTTCCAGAAGAGACTGAACAGTTACATATTGATGATGTGATAAAGCAGTTTGGCTTGTGTTGGATAAGTATTAAACTAAAAGACTTCTGATATGAGTTTCGATGCTAGACCTATTTTTTTGCAGTTTTTTTAAAAGAAAAATTAAAATTGAATATATTTATAGTATACAACATGATGTGTTGATATACATGTACATTATAGGATGCCTAAATGAAACTAGTTAACATACGTCTTGCCTCGCATATTTATCATTTTTGTGTGGCAAAAACAGTTCAAATCTACTCTTTTAGCGACTTTCAGTATACAACATATACTGTTATTAATTACAGTGGTCATGATACACAGTAAATCTCCTGAAGTTATTACTCCTGTCTAACCGAAATTTTGTATCCTTTGACCAACACCTCCATAATTCTCCTACCCCCAGGCTCTGGCAACTACCAGCATACTCGGCCTCGAAGGATTCAACTTCTCTGGGTTTTATGTATGAGTGAAATCATTTACCTTTCTGTGCCTGGCTTATTTCACTTAATATAATGTCCTCCAGGTTCATTGATGTTGTTGCAAATGATAAAATTTCATTCTTTTTTAAGGCTGAATAGTACTCCATTGTGTATATGCACCACATTTTCTTTATACATTCATTCATTGATGGACACTTAGGCTTATTCCATATCTTGGCTATTGTAATGTTGCAATGAACACAGGAATGCAGCTATCTCTTAAACATACCGATTTCATTTTCCTTCAGTATGTACCCAGAAATGGTATTCTTCAATCACATGGTAGTTCTAGTTCTAATTTTTTGAGGAGCCAACATACTGTTTTCCATAATAGCTGTACTGATTAATATTCCCACCAACAGTATACAAGGATTCCCCTTTCTTTACATCCTTGCCAACACTTACGTTTTGCCTTTTTTATGGTAGACATTCTACCAGGTTTGAGGTGATACCTCACTGTGGTTTTAATTTGCATTTCCCTGATGATCAGTGGTGTCAGCATTTTTATATACCTGTTGGCCATGTGTATGTCTTCTTTTGAAAAATATCAGTTCAGGCCCTTTGTCTGTTTTTTGATTGGAACATTTGTTTTCTTACTGTTGTTTGAGTTCTTTATATATTTTAGACATTAACTTCTTATCATCTGTAAGGCGTGCAGGTGTTTTCCTCCGCTCCGTAGGTCATCTCTTCAGTCTGGTTTCCTTTGCTGTGGAACAGCCTTTTGGTTGGATGTGATCCCAGTTGTCTGTTTTCTTTTTGTTGCCTATCTTTAGGGTCCCATGAAAAACAGCATTGCCCAGACCCTTGTCAGAGAGCTTTTCTCTTTTCTCCTATGTTTTCTTCCAGGAGGTATACAGTTTCAGGTCTTATGTCTAAGGCTCTCTAGAATTCTTAAATTTGCAAACATCCGAACAAGTAAAAGTAGGACACATGTTGAGTTATCAGTACATATGATATTGGTAAAGTGAAATCTATCCAGTTCATAGGAAGTTGATAACATCATTTGAAAACCTTATTTTGGCCAAAATTTCAGGCATTCTCTTTTGAGAAATAACTTTCTGTGAATCTGCTTTAAAGTAGCAGAGATGTTGATTGGCTCTTTTTATCTCTTCCCTGTTCAATTTCTAGTTGAGATGCAAGAGAACAATAAAATAACCAAATTTCAGTAAGAACAAGAGCCAGGACCAGAAATGTTCTACAGGCTGCATAGTTAGGCTTGCAGTATTCAGAAGTGGACTGTTTGTGTTTGTGGCTTAAGACAAGAATTAGTGGCTCTTTTCTGGATATAGCTGTGAGTTATTTATGAAATTATAGAAAAGTTTTTTTGTTGAATGATAAAATTCAAAAGAATATAAAAAAGAAAATCACCAATAATTCTATAACCTAAAGATAGAAGCTTTTTATACTTTTATTGTATTTTGTTTAAGACATCTCTCTTGATGTGAATACACATGTTTATGTGTGTATGTGTTTGTGTGTGATTAAAATCGGATTACATGACATACTTTTTGAGGTTTTGTTGTATTTTAACCCCAGCACCCAACAGAGGAAGTTTTTGAGGTTTTAAAGAAATGCCTCAGGTTCTCTGTGAAGAATCCATTATATGCTTTTTCAAAAACTGTTTTTCCCCCCAGGGTTTTAAAGATATTTGGGTCGGGAAAAGCATAGAAAATTAAACAACTGGAAAACGAGCTACAAACTACTGAGGTGGATGATTAATTCTGAGCACTCTGATAAAAGGGAGCGATTGTTACATAAAAGCAAGGCTTTGGAGGTAGACAGTCATAGTGACACAGAAAACAGCTTCCGGAGATGCATTTGACTAGGAAAAGCTATTAGGGTTATGCATTTCAAGAGACAAAGCATCCTCTTGGCCCCTAAGAAAATGGGCATACGGAAGCTGGGAAATATCTGCTTTTCTTTGCAGGAAATTCAGTGTTTCTGAACATAGAAATAGACAATCGTGTAAGGGGTTATACCTTAGCCTGTATTCTTATCGTATCTGGGCTATCCATGTCTTGGGAAAGCCAGGCCAGTTGGTTCCTGCAGCTATACCATCATTCACCTAAGGAGAATTGGAAATAACACTTTGTGACTTATAAAGTGATTTCACATCCCACATAGTACTTGTGCCAAATATACAAATTATTGATAGAATGCCTAGAAGAAAAGAATTAATCTTTTGTATGGCTAACCTTACATACAGTGCATACAGTGGTCATAGATGCCACACCCCTAGATTGCTGCATTAGAAAATACACCCTGATACCTGTAAAACACATTGGGAATGTTGGGTTCCCAAGGGACAAGATTGTGTTTTCATTTCATTTCACGTCAGGTACAGCGTGGAATGTTTTGGGACCTGAGGCCTTGAGTGTACCGTGGAAACGAATGATGCTTCAGAGAGTCCCATAGTACAGAAGGCAGCATTTTATGCTGTTTTATGTAGTGTTTTGGCAAACTAGACACCAATGTCACTGCCGTGCTCTTTTTGTTATGAATCTGACTGTGTTAGCAATTGCATGGTTGGTTAGATTAATGTATGATAATGAGTCAGTGTTTCAAATGATGAGATTTGTTGCTTGTCTCTTTCTCTGCAAAATTCTAATTTGTGCTAAGTGGCTCAGAACACTCAGATTTGAATTATTCTGTTTATGCAAGAAGACATTTATTAAATAAAGATGATGTTAGTAATTTTTCAATCTGTGGTTTGAGTCAGTTTTTCATTTCTATAGACCAAAAAGGTTGAGTTACTTCGATGAATGTACTCAGCTACTCTCCAATTTTAAGTCTGCTTAAATTGTCATGTCATTTAAGGAATGGTTTCTATAATTGTTTATCATTGAAAAGCATTAGACTACATATATTTAAATGTATAGTCAATATATTAAGCATAGATATTTATATAGCCTTTCAATTATACAGGTGTCTAAGAACCCTTTGGTCCTGCAGGCTGGTGTTAGTAGTAGTATTTAGAGCACTGAATTGTCCAACTAAGAAAAATTAAATTAGAACTTGATTTATACTCAAACATAGCTGTTAGAGAAATTTTAAGGGATCTTCCTTTGTGCATGGAAATCTGTCAAAAACACAGGCATCTACCAATTAGATAAGAAGTAAAAAGGTAGTCTTTTAAAAAGACTAAAGCTTTTTGAAGCCAAAAATGAGGTGACTTTTTTTCTATTTCAGTGTAAAACCTGTTCTGAGCCAAAAAAGATAACCAGTTCATCTGCCATCTATGACAACCCTAATCTCATCAAACCAATTCCAGTGAAACCCAGTGAAAACCAGCAACAGCATATACCTCAGCCCAGCCAGGTACAGTGTCCTCTGCTTGTCATATTACAGTGTGTCTCTAGAATTCTTAAAGAACTTTGACCCAGAGTATAGTCGGGGGAGGGCCTGTTGTTGTTGAAGAATGCTTTCGGGTAAACCCAAGAAAGAGAAATTTCAAAATATAGACTTTTTTCATTATTAATCATTTACTCTTCCTAGAAGAGGGTTAAAATTTTTACTTTTGTCATATACCACATTCGGTGCTAATCTCTTGTGAACTTGAACTACTTAAAAGATAATGTATTTATTAAAAACCAATAAGCCAGCACAGTGCTCAAGCCTGTAATCCCAGCCCTTTGGGAGGCTGAGGCAAGAGGATCACTTGAGGCCAGAAGTTTGAGAGCAGCCTGGGCAACATCGTAAGATCCCATCTCTACAAGAAAATTAGCCAGGCATGATGGCATGTACCTATAGTACTAGCTACTCTGGAGGCTGAGCAGGAGGATCACTTGAGCTCAGGAATTTGAGGCTACAGTGAGCTGTGATGCGCCACTGCACTCCATCCTGGGCAAGAAAGCAAGACCTTGTCTCGAAAAACAAAAATCAAAAAACAGCCTAGAAAACTAACAACATTGTCAGAGATCACAGAAACATTACCCATTGGGTCCGTATTCTTCTGGGATAGGTAGTTTCCCAAGGCCACCTGAGAGAACCACCACCAAGGCAACAAAACTGAGTTTAACACTTCTGAGCACCTCCTCTGTGCCAGATGCAGTGCCCACACTATAGACTGGGGTAGCTGCTGCAGAGACCTGAGTCCAGAGGAGTGATATGAAATTCCTCTTCAGACAGGATAACCTGTTCCTGTATTTACAATCTGAATTAGAAACATTACCGCAGCTTTCGTATTAGTGTATGTATACATATTTCAGAATAGTATAACAATGACAAAAATTGTCAATCTGTTGGTGCCATTAATGATTATAAATATGATATTGCTGTATCATTGTGTCACGGCTATGACTAGTTAGAAAGATTTTCTTAAAGGAATTCGTTTAAATCGATTTTGAAAATGAACATGGAGCCAAAAGACACGAAGACTAGTAATGAAAATCTTATATTGAATTTTTAAAGAAAATAAGTCTTTTCTAATCTTTTAGCTTTCTTTTTATTGCTTGTTTTCCATGGAAAGTTTTTATTCTATTTTAATAGAGAGATCTGAATATAAAATAACTTTAAAATGAAGCTCATGTTTTCTTTTTGAGATAGGGTTTTATTCCTGTTGCCCGGGCTGGAATGCAGTGGCACCGTCTTGGCTCACTGCAACCTCTGCCTCCTGGACTCAAGCGATCCTCCCACCTCAGCCTCCCAAGTAGCTGGCACTATAGGTGTGTGCTGCCATGTCAGCAATTTTTGTATTTTTTGTAGAGATGGGGTTTTGCCATGTTGCCCAGGCTGGTCTTGAACTCCTTAGCTCAAGCAGTCTGCCCGCCTTGGCCTCCCAAAGTGCAGGAATTACAGGCATGAGCCACTGTGCCTGGCCATGTGTTTTCTTAGTGCAACTATGCAGAAAACAACAGAAAGAGGTAGAGAGAAGGAAGGAAATAGCTTTGTAAGTGGCTGGGCCAAGGTAGATTTTATGTATCCCAGGACTTTTCAAACCCTACCATTGTATATTTGAAAGGATCAAGCTAGATTAAAAGTCTTCCGTTTCTTTCCAGCCCTAGATTTCCATAATTTTGTGAAAAGCTACTAGAAATTCAGAAATTCTCACATTCCTTCTCATATTACTCTGCAGGCTTAGATGGGCTTCCTATTGAAAAGATTGTTTATGTTTTCAGTGCATATAATTTCCTACCAAGGTGGTTTCCAATCTGTGAAACCCCAGGCCCTCGAAGATCCTTTATCTGTTTTTTTAGTCAACAGATACTAAAATATAACAACTGTCTTGGGGGTGCAAGGGGAGCAGGCTATGAACAATTTTGACATTAAAAAAGGGGTCTCATTTTTAAAGTTGATTATATGATTTTCTTTTTTTTTTTATTTTTTGAGACAGAGTTTTGCTGTTGTTACCCAGAATGGAGTGCAATGGTGCGATCTCGGCTCACTGCAACCTCCGCCTTCTGGGTTCAGGCAATTCTCCTGCCTCAGCCTCCCGAGTAGCTGGGACTACAGGCGCGCACCACCATGCCCAGCTAATTTTTGTATTTTTAGTAGAGACGGGGTTTCATCTTGTTGACCTGGATGGTCTCGATCTCTTGACCTCGTGATCCACCCGCCTCGGCCTCCCAAAGTGCTGGGATTACAGGTGTGAGCCACCGTGCCTGGCCGATTATATGATTTTCATTCTCTCTAATCAATCCTTGGTAAATAGAGAAAGTCATCAGTTATGTAAGTCAGGTTTCAGAGCACTCCCTCCTATAACCAAATTGTTTGCAGACTCATCTCAGATATCTTTATTTTTTCCAGACCTTAGACCCCGAACCCCAGCACTTGTCCTTGACAGCTCTGTTTGGGAAGCAGGACAAGGTTACATGTCAGGAGACTGTAGAGCCTCCACAGACCCTCCACTACCACCACCAGCAGCAGCAACAGCAGCAGCAAGAGAAGCTGCCAATTAGGCAGGGGGCTGTATGCTCCCTGTCCTATGAGGAACCCAAAAGACACTCGCCCCCCATTGAGAAGCAGCTCTGTCCGGCCATTCAGAAACTCATGGTCAGGAACACAGACCTCCACCCATTGTCAGAGCTGCCTGAAAACCGGCCCTGTGAAAATGGCAGTTCCCATTCTGCAGGAGAAGTTTTTACAGGACCTGTCCAGCCAGGGTCTCTTTACAACGTTGGGACATCTTGTGGTGTACACAATGCTTCCAGAACTCAGAACCTGTTAGAGAAACTTCACAGTACCCCACTGGGGGCCGCAAACAAGTGTGACCCGAGTACACTAACACCTTCCAGCTCAGCTGCCCTGAACCGCAGCAGAGCTCCCACTTCTGTCACGCCTGTGGCTCCAGGAAAGGGTCCGGCTCAGCTACCACAGGCCTATTTCAATGGCTGCCTTCCACCTGAGACAGTAGGACATCAGGCTCATGGGAGAGAACAGTCCACACTCGCAAGACAAACACTCCCCCTCTCTGGTAATCAGAGTGGCAGTTCTGGAGTGATCTCCCCACAAGAGTTACTGAAGAAGCTTCAGATCGTGCAGCAGGAGCAGCAGCTGCATGCCTCTAACCGGCCAGCCTTGGCCGCCAGGTTCCCTGTGCTCACTCAGAGCTCTAGAACAGGGAAACGCTTGGAATCCTGGATCAGCAAGACATCCAGCACAGAACAGCAGACTCCTCTTTTTCAGGTAAATATGTACCAGGGGCAAAATAAAACAGCCTGGCAGCATAGCAAGACTCTGTCTCTACAAAAACAAAAAACAAAAGTTAGCTAGGCTTGGTGTCTCACGCCTATAGCCTCAGCTACTTGGGAGGCTGAGGTGGGAGGATCCCTTGAGCTCAAGAGGCAGAGGTTACAGTGAGCCATGATCGTGCCACTGCACTCCAGCCTGGGTGACAGAATAAGACCCTGTCCCTTAAGAAAAAAAAAAAGAGAGAGAGAGACGAAAAGGTCTTGCTCTAGTGCAGTGAAATTTAGAGTTCACTTCTGTGCGGTAAGGACCGTGTATCACGTGCATTTCTGTTTGGAACAGGGTGCCAGAAGCCACCTCTGTGCATCTTGATTGCCCGAACTTTCTACCTGAAAGGAGAATCTTCACTTTGGTTAACAATCTGAGAACCTCCCCCTGCCTTTTTGAGAGCGTTTACTTGTAGAGTTAAATCTTCATAATGTTAGGAGGTCTGAAGACCAACACAGACGCGGGAGAAAAGCCTCATCCTTGACTGTAGGAACATAGTATGGTCTGCTTTGAAGTCAGTCTAGAATACTGAGCGTCTGACCTCCTCTGTAGGTGTTTCAGTCTACAGTAAATTATTGCTTATTCACTTATTTAGTAAATGTTTTTGAACACTTACTACATGTCAGGCATTGTCTACATGTGGGTACATAATGATGAAGAAACAGACTCCTTACCTCCACCCACAGACCATGCTCTAGGTTCTTGAAATAAACAGAAAGCAGCATATTTCCTCCGTAAAGGCGCAGCCTATTTCTGTCTTTCTCGGTATCATCAGTATAGCCTAATGAAGATGGGGAGAGATATGCATGCCACCCACCTCCACCCCCCACACAAACTGCCAGAGAGGGAAAACAGGACCATTTTTAGAAGTATTCTGTCCGTTAGGGAAGATGCTTCTCCATGTCTATCACTGACTCGGGACTGTGAGGAAACCACAAGCTTGATCAGCTGCCTGTGGGTAACATCTGGAGATCTGACACTGAATTGTTTTCCCTTTGGATTGGAACACATGTATTAAAAGTACATTGGGTTTAAAAATTGGAAGGTTCTCCCTGTGTATCACATGCATAATCACTGGCCTTTCATCATGTTTTGTTATGTACCATTTTTTTTTTTTGAGACAGTTTCACTTTTGTTGCCCAGGCTGGAATGCGATGGTGCAATCTCAGCTCACTACAACCTCCGCCTCCCAGGTTCAAGCGATTCTCCTGCCTCAGTCTTCTGAGTAGTAGGGATTACAGGCACCTGCCACCATGTCCAGCTAATTTTTTGTATTTTTTTGGTAAAGATGGGGTTTCACCATGTTAGCCAGGCTGCTCTCGAACTCCTGACCTCAGGTGATCCATCCACCTTGGCCTCCCAAAGTGCTGGGATTACAATTGTGAGCCACTGTGCCCCATCTATTATGTAACTTACAACACTTTCTCAAAAATCTATCACTTTTGGCCAGGCACAGTGGCTCATGCCTGTAATCCCAGCACTTTGGGAGGTTAAGATGGGAGGATCACTTGAACCCAGGAGTTTCAGACCAGCCTGGGCAGCATAGTGAGACCTTGTCTCTATAAAAATTTTTTTGTTTTTAATTGGCCGGGTTTGGTGATGTGCCACCATGGTCCCAGCTACTTGGGAGGCAGGAGGGGGAAGATCGCTTGAGCCCAGGAGGTTGAGACTGTAGTGAGCCATGTTCACACCACTGCACTCCAGCCTGGACAATAGAGTGAGACCCTGTCTCAAAACAAAACATTCAGTTTTTTGAAAACAAAGATCTTAGGCATGCACCAAAAGTCTTTGTGAGCACCTGAGTCGAAGTGTTCTCCTTTCTTATTTATTAACGTCCCTAATCTGAGTACTGGCTGCTATAGAAACAATATTCGTAACCCCTGCTCCCCCTCATTTCAGTGTTATTGTCCTTCTTTTAAAAACTTCTGCTTTTTTCCTCTGATGATTTAGAATTAGAAGCAGGGGATGATTGTAGCCTGAGTTAGTTCTGATGTGCAACTCCTTTGACTTTTCAGTACTCACAAATATCAAGAGCCGAGTGAGGAAGGCGTGCATTTCAGCGGCCCACGCTGTGCTCAGAATGCTTGACTCCTCCTCCGGGGAGCATCGCTGCTCAGCACCGCTCCTCGAAATGTCACGTAGGGACAAGTTAAAAGAAACAGCCTGCCTTCCTCTAGACCACCTTCTGCTCTAAGAGATGCTAAGGGAGTGATTATAGAATTACAGCAACTTCTAGCTTGCTGGCCTCTGTGCCTCCCTCTCAGGAGTTCTTCTGGGGAGTCAGGAGGCTGATAAATAACATTCATTTTTTTCCCCTGAGTTAGAAGCAAATGATAGCTGTAGGAGTCAGTCAGCTAAGGATCAAAATGTCACTTGCATAACTGAAAGGGCTGTTAGAAAACTTGCTTTCAGGTCTGTTTGCCAAGGGAGTTAGACTCACCAGATAGGCAAGGCCGTGGCAGGGCTGAGCAACAGCAACATATCAGCTGCAGAAGCTGAAGATGCGGGCTCTCTGCAGGCTGGCAGATCCTGTCAGGGAGGGACCTAGAAAGGGTGGAGCCACACATCACTCTCCCTCCCAAAGAGAAGTGCATGAGGCTGCAGGAGGGGCAGGGAGTTGCTGTCACAGCACCTCCTGTGCTCCAGGGTCAGGAGGGGAAATGGGTAGGCCCCTATCAAGTAAGGGTGGCAGCTCACATAAGTTGGGAGACCTTTAAGTCAGAGTCATGGACAGCCAGGTCTGAGGAGAAGGTCAGTAGTCCTAAATGCATGTTGCCAAATACTGACAGTCAGCCTGAAAAATAAACTGTCACTCAGAGGCCAAGCTTCATATGCAGAGGGAACAGCAGTCACCACAGCAGACCATACCAGAGCTGCTCAGTGATGCCAGAGGAAGGTGCACAGAGAGTGGAACAAGAATCAGTTACACGTAGACTATTCTCAGCTAGGGAAGCTGTGCACAGGGAATGCTTAGATCACCTGCATCCACTGCTGCAAGCTGTCATGCCATGAGCTGCTCCTGACCCCACCCCTGTGTGTATTTGCTATGAGCAGGTCATCTCACCTCAGCGCATCCCTGCTACAGCAGCTCCTTCTCTGCTCATGTCCCCCATGGTGTTCACACAATCCACCTCCGTCCCACCAAAAGAAAGGGAGAGCGGCCTCTTGCCTGTGGGAGGCCAGGAGCTGCCTGCTGCCACCACCAGCCTCCTCCTGCCCATGCAGAGCCCAGAGCCCTCCGTAATCACCAGCAGCCCACTCACCAAGCTCCAGCTCCAGGAAACACTGCTGTACCTCATTCAGGTAAGCCATCACATCATCTCCCTTTGCACCTGACCACACCTGTTGGCCTCCTGGCTGTGACTTTCAGATAAAGACTTGGCCATGGCCTGCTTAGCTTCCGTGAGAATAACAGGTGTGTGTGTAACAACTCATCCTGACCCCAGTGGCTTCTGTGCTCGTTTAGCTTGGTGCTATTTAGAATACCAAGTGTGGCTTTGGATGTCTCAGCTCTTCAAGGATCTTGTCATTTGAAGGACTGTCTAAGGTCTCCAAGCTGTCACCTGTCAGAAGAGAAGGAAGCATACGCTGGTGATTAAGCAGTCCCTGAGAGGACCCTGGGTGCTGCCGGGGGCCTGGAGAGAAAACTCACCATTAGGAAGTAGAGGTGGGAGCAGTCCCGGGCAAGGGGCCGTCTGCCGAGTAGGGAACAGGTCACTGAGCGAGTGGAAAACAGGGAGGGTAGCAAGTAATGGCTGTGGCTGCTGCAGGTGCGTTTTACAAGTCATTTTGAAATCTGCTCATTAGGATGGGATGGAGCGACAAGACTCCTTGTGAGCCATCGTCTCACTTGTCTATGAAATTGTGAAATAATAATGAGTACAGTAATAGCTTACACTCCATAGAGCTGGTGCCGGGCCCTGTTTTAAGTGCCACACACATATTAACTCATTCACTCCTTACACAACAACCCTGTTATTTTTCCCATTCTGCAGAAACGGAAAGTGAGGCTAAGCAACTGGTGAGGCACACAGCTTGTTCATAACACAGCGGGGATGCTCCATGCTGCCATGTGGCTCGGCTGCCCATCTATGCTGCATGTAATGAGCTCTTGCTACCATGCAGGCCCCTAGCCTGGCCCCCGGAGTGCCACTTCCCATATGCTCTCCCGTGGGCCATACTCTCCACATGAATGTTACCAGGGACCAGCCTCAGGAGAACATTCAGCACAGGGGCCCTAGCAAAGCACACCCAAAAAATAAATGGTAGGCCTTGAAAAGTGGAATATTTGTAGCCAGACAGACTTGAGACACCCCAGTTAATGTATTTAGATGTCTTTTTAGTAGATAGTCTTTAAGAAAACTTTTGTGGCACTTTGCTTAAACATCAAAGTGGCCTCTAGAGAGCAGGCTAGCCCTTCTGCGGTTGTCCTGTCCTACTCAAAAAGACAGTGGTCTCTATTAGTAAAACATTTTTTAAAAGCCTACATGTTGGCCAGGCGCAGTGGCTCCTCACACCTGTACTCCCAGCACTTTGGGAAGCCAAGGTGAGAGCATTGCTTGAGGCCAGGAATTCAAGATCAGCCCGAGCAACATAGCGAGACTACAAAGGAGACAGTTTGAGAGAGAATGAAAGGAATGGACTAGAAAACAGCAGAAGTGTAATAATCAGATACAAAGAAGGTCAGCAGCAAATAACTGAGCCTCACTAATTCATAAATAAATATCAGGATAAAAATATTTGCCACCTTTTAAAGCTATTCATGGTAAGCTCATGAGGAATTAGAAAGGACATCTATGAACTTCTTTACTTTGAGCAAATTTCTTAAGTTTGAATTTAAAAGGTTCATATGTTTTTCTGGCTCATTCCATTCAGATCACATTGTCTTGAGACTCTGATAATCCAGAGTAGTTGCTGAACACGGCTGGTTAGAAATTCCATTCCCCCTCCTTCCACTGTCGGAACGCGTTTTACTTCTTCCTGTGTACTAGACCTCATCTTCCCAGTCACTCACACAATCTGTTTTTAGTCTCTGCCTCTTGTTAGGATGCAGTCTCATGCATAGGAACTTTGTGACTACTTTGTAGGAAAAAAAGGGATAACATCACTCTCTTCATTGCATGAAAATAATGCTAACTCTGTGTGGGGTGCGAAGAGGGAATGAAGGGGGAATGTGAAGTGTGGGTGAATTACTAATGCTGTAAAGAATTCGAGTGGGAGGGAGAAGTCTCTAGAATTAAAAAATGAAGAAAACCACTGATTAGACCATGATTCCCACTCTTTGCCAGGCAAAAGAGCCCAGAGACTACCAGTCTTATTCCTGCCCACTTGCCAAGGCCAGAAACTTTCCATAACTTATGGAAAGACTTACGTGGACTTTGATGAAGTACTGATGAAGCATGTTGGAAGTAAAATGCTCAGTAATGCCCAAAACAAAGTAAAACCATTGCAGGTAACGTGGAGGGCCTTTAAACACCACAGTGGCTCATGCCTGTAATCCCAGCACTTGGGGAGGCCAGGAGTTTGAGACCACCCTGAGCAACATAGTGAGACCTTGTCTCAACAAAAAACTGACAAAGAAAAGCCAGGTACGGTGGCACACACCTTGTAGCCCTAGCTACTTGGGAGACTGAGGTGGGAGGATCACTTGACTGCAGGAGGTTGAGGCTGCAGTGAGCTATGATGGCAGTACTGCACTTCAGCTTGGGTGATGGAGTGAGACCCGGTGTCAAAAACCAAAAAAAAAAAAAAAAAAAAAAAAACAAGAAACAAAAAAACACACCACCTGGATCATGTCCTCCTAACTCCTCTGTCTGCTGGGGCCCCTTATCTTTGCAGACCCAGGCTGTTCTTGAGTAAACCTTGTTCCATGCTGCCATGTGGCTCGGCTGCCCACCTGTGCTGTATGTAATGAGCTCTTGCTACTGTGCATACTGACCGTGGAAAACCAGCAGCTCTGTCCGGCCTTGCCTCAACCCCACATAACATTCACACATGTAATTAAAAACCACCAGCTGTTAGATCAGACGGGGAGAGATGAGCCTCTCAGTGTCCAAATGCCAGTTCAGCTCTTAGACAGAGGAAGCCCTTTGTGTCTGCCAACCAAGTTGCGTTCTCCTGGGTCTCTCTATTTGTTTTCCAGAATGACGACAACTTCTTAAACATAATCTATGAAGCCTATCTCTTCAGCATGACTCAAGCAGCCATGAAAAAGACTATGTGAGAGCAAGTCCTTTTAAAACTGATTTTCAAGGTCCTTCCAAAACTCTGGCACAAGGTTCTTTCACGTCGTGTTGTTTCTTTCAATGTTTCTGCCTTTTATTAAAAAAAAGAGTATGTATAATATGAAGTAAAATGTTTCAGACTTTTTTTTATAGTCAGGTGGAGTTTTTTTATAGTCAGGTGGAGCTTTTTTTTTTTAAGTTCTGGGATACATGTGTAGAATGTGCAGGTTTATTACATAGGTATACACATGCCATGGTGGTTTGCTGCACCCATCAACCCGCCATCTACATGAGGTATTTCTCCTAATGCTGTCCTTCCCCTAGCTTCCTACCCGCAACAGGCCCCGGTGTGTGATGTTCCCCTCCCTGTGTGCATGTGGTCTCATTGTTCAACTCCCACTTGTGAATGAGAACATGTGGTGTTTGGTTTTCTGTTCCCATATTAGTTTGCTGAGAATGATGGTTTCCAGCTTCATCCATGTCCCTGCAAAGGACATGAACTCATCCTTTTTTATGGCTGCATAGTATTCTGTGGTGTATATGTGCTACATTTGCTTTATCTGCTCTATCATTGATGGGCATTTAGGTTGGTTCCAAGTCTTTGCCATTGTGAATAGTGCTGCAGTAAACATACATGTTCATGTGTCTGTATAGTAGAATGATTTATGATACTTTGGGTATATACCCAGTAATGGAATTGTTGGGTCAAATGGTATTTCTGGTTCTAGATCCTTGAGGAATCACCACACTGTCTTCCACAATGGTTGAACTAATTTACACTCCCACCAGCAGTGTAAAAGTGTTCCTATTTCTCCACATCCTCTTCAGCATCTGTTGTCTCCAGATTTTTTAATGATCGCCATTCTAACTGGCGTGAGATGGTATCTCAATGTAGTTTTGATTTGCATTTCTCTAATGACCAGTGATAATGAGCTTTTTTTCATATGTTTGTTGGCCACATAAATGTCTTCTTTTGAGAAGTATCTGTTCATATCCTTCACCTACTTTTTGATGGGGCTGTTTTCTTCTTGTAAATTTGTTTAAGTTCCTTGTAGATTCCGGATATTAGCCCTTTGTCAGATGGATGTTGCAAAACATTTCTCCTACTCTGATGATAATTTCTTGCTGGGCAGAAGCTCTTTAGTTTAATTAGATCCCATTTCTCAATTTTGGATTTTGTTGCCATTGCTTTTGGTGTTTTAGTCATGAAGTCTTTGCTGTGCTTATGTCCTGAATGGTATTGCCTAGGTTTTTTCCTAGGGATTTTATGGTTTTAGGTCTTACGTTTAAGTCTTTAGTCCATCTTGAGTTAATTTTTTTATAAGGTGTAAGGAAGGGGTCTAGTTTCAGCTTTCTGCACATGGCTAGCCAGTTTTCTCACCATCATTTATTAAACAGGGAATCCTTGTTTTTGTCAGGCTTGTCAAAGATCAGATGGTTGTAGATGTGTGGCATTATTTCTGAGGCCTCTGTTGTGTTCCATTGGTCTATATATCTATTTTGGTACCAGTACCATGATGTTTTGGTTACTGTAGCCTTGCAGTATAGTTTGAAGTCAGGTAATTTGAAGTCAGGTAGCATAATGTCTCCAGCTTTGTTCATTTTGCTTAGGATTGTCTTGGCTATACAGGATCTTTTTTGGTTCCATATGAAATTTAATATAGTTTTTTTCTAATTCCATGAAGAAAGTCAGTGGTAGCTTGATGGGGATAGCATTGAATCTATAAATTACTTCGGGCAGTATGGCCATTTTCATGATATGATTCTTCCTATCCATGAGCATAGAATGTTTTTCCATTTGTTTGTGTCCTCTCTTACTTCCTTGAGCAGTGATTTGTAGTTATCCTTAAAGAGGACCTTCACATCCCTTGTAAGTTGTATTCCTAGGTATTTTATTCTCTTTGTAGCAGTTGTGAATGGGAATTCACTCATGATTTGACCCTCTGTTACTGGTGTATAGGAATGCTTGTGATTTTTGCACATTGATTTTGTATCCTGAGACTTTGCTGAAGTTGTTTATCAGCTTAAGGAGATTTTGGACTGAGACAATGGGGTTTTCTAAATATATAATCATGTCATCTGCAAACAGAGACAGTTTGACTTCCTCTCTCCCTATCTGAATAGCCTTTATTTCTTTCTCTTACCTGATTGTTCTGGCCAGAACTTCCAATATTATGTTGAAGAGGAGTGATGAGAGAGAGCATCCTTGTCTTATGCCAGTTTTCAAAGGGAATGCTTCCAGCTTTTTTACTCATCCAGTATGATATTGGCTGTGAGTTTGTCATAAATAGCTCTTCTTATTTTGAGATACATTCCATCAATACATAGTTTATGAAGTTTGGTTTTTGAGTTTTCCTTTTTTAGCATGAAGTAGTGTTGAATTTTATTAAAGGCCTTTTCTGCATCTATTGAGCTATTCATGTGGTTTTTGTCATTGGTTCTGTTTATGTGATGGATTATGTTTATTGATTTACATATGTTGAACTGGCCTTGCATAGCAGGGATGAAGCTTTCTGATGTGCTGCTGGATTCGGTTTGCCAGTATTTTATTGAGGATTTCTGCATTGATGTTCATCAGGGTTATTGGCTTGAAATTTTCTTTTTTTGTTGTGTCTCTGCCAGGTTTTTGTATCAGAATGATGCTGACCTTATAAAATGAGTTAGGGAATCCACCTTTATCTATTGTTTGGAATAGTTTCAGAAGGAATGATACCAGCTCCTCTTTGTACCTCTGGTAGAATTTGGCTGTGAATCCTTCTGGTTCTGGGCTTTTTTTGGGTGGTAGACTATTAATTGCTGCCTCAACTTCAGACCTTGTTATTGGTCTATTCAGGGATTCGACTTGTTTATGGTTTAGTCTTGCGAGGGTGTATGTGTGCAGGAATTTATCAATTTCTTCTAGATTTTGTAGTATATTTGCATAGAGTATTTATAGTATTCTCTAATGGTAGTTTGTATATTTGTGAAATCAGTGGTGATATCCCCTTTATCATTTTTTATTTTGTCTATTTTCTTCTTTATTAGTCTGGCTAGTGGTCTATTTTGTTAATCTTTTAAAAAAAAACAGGTCCTGGATTCATTGATTTTTTTTTTTTTTGAAGGGTTTTTCATGTCTCTGTCTCCTTCAGTTCTGCTCTGATCTTGTCTTCTGCTAGCCTTTGAATTTGTTTGCTCTTGCTTCTCTAGTTCTTTTAATTGTGATGTTGGCATGTTGATTTTAGATCTTTCCCGCTTTCTCCTGTGAGCATTTAGTGCTATAAATTTCCCTCTAAACACTGCTTTCACTGTGTCCCAGAGATTCTGGTGCTTTGTGGCTTTGTACTCACTGGTTTCAAAGAACTTCTTTATTTCTGCCTTAAATTCATTATTTATCCAGTAGTCATTCAAGAGCAGATTGTTCAGTTTCCATGTAGTTGTGCAGTTTCAAGTGAGTTTCTTCATCCTGAGTTCTAATTTGATTGTGCTGTGGTCTGAGAGACTGTTTGTTATGATTTCTGTTCTTTGCATTTGCTGAGGAGTGATTTACTTCCAGTTATGTGGTCAGTTTTAGAATTAGTGCGATGTGGTGCTGAGAAGACTGTATATTCTATTGATATGGGGTGGAGAGTTCTGTAGATGTCTATAAGGTTCACTTGGTCCAGAGCTGAGTTCAAGTCTTGAGTATCCTTGTTAATTTTCTGTCTCACTGATCTCTCTAATATTGACAGTGGGGTATTAAAATCTTCCACTATTATTATGTGGGAGTCTAAATCTCTTTTAGGTCTCTAAGAACTTGCTTTATGAGTCTCCTGTATTGGATACATATGTATTTAGGATAGTTAGCTCTTCTTGTTGCATTGATCCCATTACCATTGTGTAATGCCCTTCTTTGTCTTTTTTGATTTTCGTTGGTTTAAGTCTGTTTTATCGGAGACTACGATTGCAACCCCTGTCTTTTTTTTGGCTTTCCATTTGCTTGGTAAATATTTGACCATCCCTTTATTTTGAGCCTATGTGTGTCTTCGCACATGAGATGGGTTTCCTGAATACAGCACACCGATGGGTCTTGACTCTTTATCCAATTTGCCAGTCTGTGTCTTTTAATTGGGGCATTTAGCCCATTTACATTTAAGGCTAATATTGTTATGTGTGAACTTGATCCTGTCATCATGATGCTAGCTGGTTATCTTGCCCATTAGTTGATGCAGTTTCTTCATAGTGTTGATGGTCTTTACCATTTGGTATTCTTTGCACTGGCTGGTACCAGTTTTCCTTTCCATATTTAGTACAGAGTGGACCTCCAGCAAACTCCAGCAGACCTGCAGCAAAGGGGCCTGTTAGAAGGAAAACTAACAAACAGAAAGGAATAGCATCAACATCAACGAAAAGGATGTCCACACAAAACCCCCATCCGAAGGTCACCAGCATCAAAGACCAAAGTGAGATAAATCCATGAAGATGAGGAAAAACCAGTGCAAAAAGATTAAAAATTCCAAAAACCAGAAGGCCTCTTCTCCAAAGGATCACAACTCCTCGCCAGCAAGGAAGAAAACTGGATGGAGAATGAATTTGATGAATTAACAGAAGTAGACTTCAGAAGATGGGTAGCAAACTCCTCTGAGCCAAAGGAGCATGTTCTAATCAAATGCAAGGAAGCGAAGAACCTTGAAAAGAGGTTGGAGGAATTGCTAACTAGAATAACCAACTGAGAGAAGAACATAAATCACCTGATGGAGCTGAAAAACACAGCACGAGAACTTCATGAAGGATACACAAGTATCAATAGCTGAATTGATCAAGTGGAAGAAAGGGTATCAGAGATTGAAGATCAACTTAATGAAGTAAAGCATGAAGACAAGAGAAAAATGAGTGAAAAGGAATGAACAAAGCCTCCAGGAAATACGGGACTATGTGAAAAGACCAAACCTACGTTTGATTGGTGCACCTGAAAGTGATGTGGAGAATGGAACCAAGTTGGAAAACACTCTTGAGGCTATTATCCCAGAGAACTTCCCCAACCTAGCAAGACAGGTCAACATTCAAATTCAGGGAATACAGAGAACACCACAAAGATATTCCTCAAGAAGAGCAACCCCAAGACACATAATCGTCAGATTCACCAGGGTTGAAATGAAGGAAAAAATGCTAAGGGCAGCCAGAGAGAAAGGTCGGGTTACCCACAAAGGGAGCCCATCAGACTAACAGTGGATCTCTCTACAGAAACCCTACAAGCCAGAAGAGAGTGGGGGCCCATATGCAAGATTCTTAAAGAAAAGAATTTTCAACCTAGACTTTCACATACAGCCAAACTAAGCTTCGTAAGCGAAGGAGAAATAAAATCTTTTACAGACAAGCAAATGGTGAGAGATTCTGTCACCACCAGGCCTGCCTTTCAAGTGGTTTCTTGTTTTGTTTTGCTTTTAGAAATCATGTCCTTCAGTACACCTGGTACTAAGAATAGAGTGAGTAGGAAAATTCTTTGCCCAGCTCACTCAGTAAATGCCAGGCTTAAATTATGTTTTCTTACATGTATGGAGCCACTTGGGAAGAATCAGTGTCTCTGTGGGAAGGCCTGTTCTTGGAGCTTAGTTCTTTGTTAATAGGGTCTGGTGGTTCTTTGAGCAGAGTGTAATTTCCACTGGGGAGCTCCATGTGCACAGTGCATGCCGACCACCAGGTGGCAGTGTCGTCCCACAAGTTATCCTACAAAGGCTTTAATGAGCCTTTGGAAATAATGATGGTTTTCTTTTACCAGACAAAGTAAACCTTTCATTTGTAAAAACCCAGTTGGCATGTTTTACCCAATCCTTTGAAGGGAAGTTATTTCTAAATGTATTTATAGCTAGTTTCTAGAGGATAGATGTTCTAAGAGTTGACAAATGGCCCAGATTTCCAGCAACACTTCATCCCAGCCCATGATATTTCTTTTGGACCCAAGCAGCAGGATGTGCCCGCCTCAGCTTCCGAATGCATAGTATATCATCCTCAGCAGAACACGCTGAGAGCCAGGGCACAGGAGACTGACTGTGATGTTCGGGGCTTGTGATAAGGACTCGGCAAGCCGTGGAGCAGATCGAGTTTTATGTTCACAGAGATGAGGAGCTTAATCTTGGAAGGAGTCAGAAGAGCCCCTGCCAAGTTGTTAAGAGTATGTATGGGACTCAGTCCCTGCTAAGTATTCATAATAAAGACAGCTTTGTGTTCCTATAACCCTTCTTATTCTCGGCTCATAAAAAGATCTTAGATTACTGCAAAGCAGACAGGTTTTATTCTCATTTTATAGTTCATAAAATGGAAGCATGAGGAAAACAGGTTTCCCTACAGTTTCTGAGATCTAGGCTTGGACTTTAAGCTCTAAACCTTTGTTCAGCCACACCATCAAGTGAAAGCGTTGTTAGAACACCAACTCCCCTACTGTCCCACAGGAGGATGCTTTGTCTTGTGAAGAGAAAGGGTAGGTGGAAAAGGGATTGATTGTTACTGAACCCTTGTTATGTGCCAGACCTTGGCAAGGAGTCCACTGTGTTATCCTCCGACATTTAGGAAGGAGACTGCCACTCCCTAGGTGCCACTGGCTCCCAGGCAGTAGTTCCAACCTAACTGAAGCTCAGGTGGAGCCCTGAGATCTCTGTTCCTAGAGGCAGCCTTACCCAGTGCAGTGGGCTTCACCTGGTGGAATTCTTTGTTTCTTTGGTATCTCCTACAACCATCTAACAAAGTGACGAGCCATGCGAAGTTTCCACAGAATACTTGAAATTAATAATTGCATAAATGGTATCTCAGTAGTAAGGAGAACAGGGCAACATCAGAGACACATTTGGATCTGTCATTCGGAAATCCGTTATAATAGTGCTTGCTTCAGCGACACATGTACAAAAATGGGAACAAAATCAATGATCTGCTTCACTGCTGGCAACCTTGAAAACATATCTTTGATCTTAATTACATGTTTGGAGTTGCTCACCAGCTAGGGAGAGGTGAGTTCCATATTTAATGTTCCTACTGTATTTGTTGTAGTGAATGACTAATTTCATGAAATATTTCTTCCTTTGCTTCAGAACTGCATAAATAAAACAGAAAGAAATATCCGTTATAGTACCTAATGTGAAAAGGGGCCCATGTTCTGATGTGACAGAGGAACAAGCCCAAGCCCAGCATGGTCAGACCTGCCCTGCAGGCTTCAGCGGGCCTTTCTAGGTCAACGCCACAGTCATCTGTTTTGAAAAATAATAAATTCTCCATCCTTTACTGGAATAAATCATTTGAAAAGGGACAGGCCCAATTCATTTAGACCAAAGACAAAGTCACCCTTTTGAAGGGCAGCTGGTGATGGAGCGCTTGTTTCTTCTGTACAGCAAAGCAGATGACAGTGTCTTTGTGCAAAAGGACTTTCTCTAGTGAGCCCAAGAAATAGATCAAAAGGGCTGTCTGAGGCACCCAAAGTTAGATTCATAATAAATGGGCTTTTCTTCCTCCCACTCAGCCCAAATTCTGGGAACATCATTGATGCCACTCCTTAGGTGCCACTGGCTCCTAGGCAGCAGTTTTAACCTAATTGAATCTCAGGTCGAGTCCTGAGAGTTCTGTTCATAGAGGTAACCTTATCCAATGCAGTGGGCTTCAACCTGGTGGAAGTTCCAGAAGCCAGAGCCGTCTGGTGTGGGGACAGAGCACACAGCTATAGAGAAGTTCCAGAGCTGTCTGGTGTGGGGACAGAGCACACAGCTATAGAGAAGTTCCAGAGCTGTCTGTCTGGTGTGGGGACAGAGCACACAGCTATAGAGAAGTTCCAGAGCTGTCTGTCTGGTGTGGGGACAGAGCACACAGCTATAGAGAAGTTCCAGAGCTGTCTGTCTGGTGTGGGGACAGAGCACACAGCTATAGAGAAGTTCCAGAGCTGTCTGTCTGGTGTGGGGACAGAGCACACAGCTATAGAGAAGTTCCAGAGCTGTCTGTCTGGTGTGGGGACAGAGCACACAGCTATAGAGAAGTTCCAGAGCTGTCTGGTGTGGGGACAGAGCACACAGCTATAGAGAAGTTCCAGAGCTGTCTGTCTGGTGTGGGGACAGAGCACACAGCTATAGAGAAGTTCCAGAGCTGCCTGTCTGGTGTGGGGACAGAGCACACAGCTATAGAGAAGTTCCAGAGCTGTCTGGTGTGGGGACAGAGCACACAGCTATAGAGAAGTTCCAGAGCTGTCTGTCTGGTGTGGGGACAGAGCACACAGCTATAGAGAAGTTCCAGAGCTGTCTGTCTGGTGTGGGGACAGAGCACACAGCTGTGGAGTCACACAGACCTGCCTTGAATTCCTGAACAAGTGCATCTCTGGGACACTGTTTTCTCACTTAAAAATGAAAGACTCTCACAAGGTCCTTATGAGGATTAATTGGGAGCAACACATGTCAAATGACTCCTCCGTGCCGCGGCTGTGGTCCGGGGGCCTTGCTCCAGCTGTTGGGAGAGGCCCGCAGCTGCTGGGCTGGCCTTGTTTGCCACCCACCAGGACCTGAGGGTTCAGTCTGGCCTTGGCACTTGGGGTTCTGTGGTCCTGCTTTACTGTCTTCTCCCCTTCATTTCCTTATCAATGAAATGAAAACAGTAACGCTTCTCCCTTCCTTATGAAGGAAGTGCCACAGCTCTTTAAGAGGCCCACATACCCAGTGGTATCACTACTTGTAATGGTACCATGTCGATGCTGCTCTTGCCCCTGCCGTTATGGGTAAAGCACCATCTAAATTGCAAGGCAGAAGGCAGTGCTATTCGATAGGATTCATACTTCCTGGATCTTCTGAAAAGAAACACACTGCTTGGTCTCCCCCTTCAGAAGGCCAGGCATGGTGATAACTGCAGAGTGAGAGAAACCTCTGTTAGTATCTTCTAGAACTGTCTGGTATGCACAGCCAGCCCTACTGGACATAGAGCCCTTGTACTGGCTTCTTCCAGCCCCTTCAGGAGGAAAGCCCAGGGCCAAGAAACAAAAAATAAAAACCAGAAAATCCAGGGCTGAAGGATTATCCTGGAAAGCACAGACCTGTGGCATTTGATAAGTTCTTTCTTCCTTCAGACGACAGCAGCCTGCCTGCCCTTTGCAGACCCAGAAAGAACAGAAGAAGGACCTGCTTTCTTCCTCTTGAATGAGAAGGGTGAAAATCTGAGAGGAAAGTGCATTTCTACCTCAAGAAAGCTCAGCTATTGAGTAACAGCTCTTCCCTTTGGTTCTCTTGGATATAAAGAGAAACCAACAGTCCACACTTGTCAAGGCCTATTTCCCTGGAGTATGTGCTGCTAAGGATGGGAGGGGCACATCAGAAACGAGTGCTCTGAGCACCAGGCTTTGCCTGGTCTCCATTTGTCAGTATGGATTCAGGTGGGGCAGGGAGGGGCGGAGTGTTGGGTGCAGTTTTAGGAACCGCGTCTCCAGAATGATGTGGACAGATTGGCCGCTCGCTCCTATTAGCAGTGAAGAGGCCTTCTGTTTTCTGACAGGGCCTGCTCTATTCAGACATGTGCCGCCTCCTCCCTTCCCCAAGAAATCAGCCTGCCTCACAGGCTTTGGAACATGGAGTCATCCTTGAGGTTAAATGTGTTGTCTGCAGCGCGCAGGCCGAGGCCACGCCTCGTGGTGTAAAGGTTCATGGCTGCACATGTTGGGGAGCCTGGCCAGCAATTTGCTGAACACTTGCTTTTCAGATCTCAGATGGCTCTGCACCCCACTCCCTCTTACAATTAGAGGAGTGAGGGAGGTGGTTACAAATACTTGGTATATTTAACCCAACCTTGGGTATCTAGATAGATGTTCACTAAACTGAGTCATGAGTAATGCCTGCCAACAGCTCAGAGCCTCGAGAAAAGTACACAAATAAAAACTGCGCGTGCAGACTGTGGGGAGGGGAGGAGAGCCGAGCACTGTGGGTGACTGGCGCTCCTGGCGTCTGGGCAGTACAGACAGGCGCGTGGTCCTGCGCCAGCTAGCAGCCCAAGCTGTGCAGCCCGGGCTTCTCAAGGAGGCAGAAGAAAGAAATCCAAGCCTCGGACAAGTTAACTAAGGGCGAGTAGGAAGGAAGTAAAAAAATGTACTAAGTAGGTGGAGAAAGGGTGGGAGACCAGTCATAAGCCAAAGTCTAAGAATTTCCCTAAAAGTCTTAGGGCCAAGACGAAAGGCACAAAATAATCTAGGAAGAAGCCAAGATGAAGCACCCTGCCAAGACTGGCAGACACAGAAACAGACACGCAAGGGACAGGGTGGGAGTCCTCAGCATTAGAGATTCAAGGGGGCAAGCAGAGCCCCGTCTCCAAGACGACAGTCTCCTGGCCCAGGACGGAAGCTGCAGCCACCGGCCGTGCATACACCGTGAATGCCCCAGCTCCTCCCTCCACCTGTCAGGCACACTTAGTACCTACACAATTGAAGGGGCTCAAAAGACCAAGAAGGCAGAACCACGATCTCGGCTGCCAGGAGCCCCACACCCCATGTGATGTAGTGCAGAGAACAGTGCACTCAGAAAGCTCTGAGTTCTAGTCCCACCATCTCCTCTTTCTCCACCCAGGTGAGTGTCAAGGGGAAATGATTTTCTATCGTGTTTATCGTAGAAACCTTGCAATGGCTGCTTCAGGCCAGTGCCGTGTGTGCTCCATGGCAGCATTTTCTCCTCTGGACGGCAGCCCTCTGGGATGTACCAGGCAGAGCTGGCCCTTCCCCCATCAGCCTCACGGGTCAAGTGTGTCCCAGCTTTTCTTATTGCCACTTACGGCTCCATCATAAATCTGTCCAGAATTATTTTTGATGTTATATTTTCTGCCCATAGCACTTCTCCAGGGTCACGAGTTCCGTAGGTTTTACTCCCTCCTGTGTAGAGGTTTCCCAGCATGCACAGAGAAACTGTGGGAAACCTCTGGCTTGACAGGAGAAACTGTGGCTGGATAGGAAATCTTGAGATAACGGGTCCTGAAGGGACAGGGGGTTCTGCCCAGCTGTGGAGTGCCCAGCCTGTGTGTGAATGACCACTACCCATCAGATGCCATGCTGGAGACACAGAGATGAGTAAGACCCAGCCCAGGCCCCAAGGAGCTCACAGACCAGTGGGAAAGAGACTTACTGTAAGATGACATTGTGGGGGTCATCGCTTACATGCAAATAGGAGGCCAGGGAAGGCTTCCAGGAAGAGATAATGCTTATGCTGGTTCTCAGAGGGTAGGTAAGGTTGACAAAATGAGGGGGCAGCAGGAGTTTGAGGCAAAAGAGATGGCATGAGCCAAGACAGGAAGGCAAGCAGCAGCAATAGTTCTGTGTCCATGTGTGTGCACGTGTGTGTGTGTGTGTTGAGGCGACCTGTGTGTGTGTGAAGGGGTGGGAAGCGGGTACAATACAAGCCATTCGATGTTCTGGAACTTAAAAGACAGAGACTGGCAGGAGATGTGGCTGGAAAAGCACTGTCCAGCCCCTCCGGAGAGCGGAGACTCCGTGAGGGATTCTGCATGGTCCCGCCTTCACTCCTACATGTCCCTGGTCCTGAGTGGAGACAAGATGGGCGAGGCAGATGGCAGCGGGCAGCTGTGGCAGTGGCTGAGGGGGGAAAGGACGGCAGCCTGACCCAAAGCAGCAGTAGCTGAAATTTAAAAACACATGAGACAGATTTAAGAAAGACTCGGGAAGCAAACTTGGGAAGATTGAGTTACTAATCATCTGTGGATGGTAAAGAGAAGGCAAAGATGAGCCGCAGGTTCTTCGCTTGGGTGACTAGGCTGACAGTGACGAGATGAAATGAGGAAATGCTGGCTGGAGTTGACCATAATAGCAACCACAGGTGTGAGGCACTACTCTCTGCCCTTAGCACAAGTTGCCTTTGACCCCCATGAAACCCTGCAAGGTATGCTGTTTCCCTCATTTTATAGCTGGGAAACCTGAAATTCCAAGAATTTGATTTCTTACGTGCACGATTTCACCGACTCCATCCAGAGGCAGAGCTGTCCTTTCCTGCTAGCCAGGCTGAGTACCCACTGAGGAGACGGGAGAAGAGTGGTCATGAGTTCTGGCCAGCCCAGGCCCAGGGAAGGACTGCCCAACTAAACCACTCCAAATCCAGATTCTCCCCAAGCTGGCATGGCAGAACAGGGTCAGAACTCCCATAGGAATGAGGGAGTCTGGGTCCCTTGGGCCCAGATCAACAACCTCCCAGGGTCCAACACTGACCTTCTGTGAACATGTGACCCTGTTGAGTCCTGGGTTGGGGAAGGGGGTCTCACAGCCTTGCCATGGTCTGACTCTTGGCAAAACCTCTCCTGGAAGCGTCCCTGCCTCTTCAGGCAAATGGGGGCTGTGTCTCTGGCAGAATTTCCCAGGAAGACAAAGCAGGGAGCACCCCCACCTGCAACTCCAGTTATGGCTCCCTCAGCGGCACCTGCCTTGCACTGGGGCCTGCAGACCTTGACCTGGCTGTGTGGGTTGAGACGGGGTGGAGAAGGGAAAGGCTGGGACACGGCCCCTCTGCACTCCCCGCTGCCCTGGGCCTGGCTGCCAGCAGGGCGCCCTGCCTGTCTGACTATGACCAGGCACATAGAGGCAGTGTCCTGCGGAGGGGAGGGGAGGCCCAGCTCCTGCGTGTCTACTCACAGAGTAGGTCATGATCATCTTCCCCTCAGGAGTCATTTCCTCTCTTTATGACATAAGGTGATTGATAATGTGAATAATAAAAAATAATGCCTCGCACGTGAGGGGCTCCATGCAGCTTAGACTCAGCACGCCTGTGAGCTGGTGGTGATGTGGGTACCTGTGGGTGGGCACTTAGGAAATGTTAGTCCTAAGAGGATGTGGGGGCCACCCTGGCTTTGGGGTCTCAGGGAACCTCTTCTAACTCGGATAGTGGGGTTGCTCATTTCCCCTATCACACCCCACTCTAATGGGGGCAAATGAGGAATAATTTCTCATTTAAGACTTCAGCTGAAGGCTGCAGAACATTTTGGAGGGACTTTGCAGAGAACAGAGGTCCAAAAAGAGGTTCTAAAAGGCAAAGATTCTGGAGGTTCAAGTCCTCTTTCTTCTTCAGTGTCACCCAGTTGTCCCATCAATGGGGTGACCACATAATCCATCGTTCAAACTAGGATGCTTCCGGATGTGAACGGTCACTAATCACTGAGACGATAGGCAGCAACATCGACTGTCCTGGGCAAGTGCGGACCAACGATCCCCACACATATCACCAGGTAGGCCCTACCAGACTTCTAGCCACAGGGATCCCCGTGCTAAGCCATGCAACTAGCACCATCCTTAGATAAGCCTTAAAGAGTCAGAGGGGCAGGCGACACCTCCCCAGAAGTCAGGAGGCTGAGTGTGGGCTGGCTCCATCGTTACTTCACCCTGTGTGCTAAAGCTAGGCCATGCAAACACTCAGCCACAGGTTCCCCTGTCAGATGAGTCTGAATCAGATGTGGTTTCTTCCTGTCTCAGCATCCAGCCCCCTTTCTCCTTTTGGGCCCTCCCTTCTGGTTAAGAAGTAAGTTCAGGGGAAGTCACTGCCAGAGGTGGCCCCTGGCCCTGTGTGTAAGGTGACCACTGCTTCTCTGCCTCCACGCCACCTGCAGAGGCCACTCCATCCCCAGGTCGGGGTGCTCTGCCACGTGTGGGACGGCCTTGCAGCCCCGGCTTGGCTCTGCCGTGGACGGGATCTGTGTTGCTCGCCTTTGCTGAGCCTGCTTAGAGAGCTCCGTGCTGGACCTCACGAACAGGTCACTCCGTGGGTAGCTCCAGCCAGCAAGGCCGTCTGCATGTGACAGGCAGCCACGTGGGCCCTGCCCCCCTCTCTCAAGTGCTCAGCCTGGGCAACTCTGCGACCTGGGCCACAACAGGCACTTTATAAAATGGGAGCATGAGAAAGGATCTTGTGAGGCCATAATTCAAGCCTTTCCTTTGGTTGCTGAAGACAGGCCCAGAAAGGCTGGGGCCTGCCCCTGGAGAAGCAACTCGCTAATGAGGGCCAGGACCCAAAACTCAGTGAACCGCTGAAGCTGCCCCCTTCACTCAAGTTGCCCCTTCCTCCAACACAGCACAGCTCTCTCCTCCCCCTCAGGGACTCAGGGATTAGTCAACCTTTAGAAGTCTGTGTTTATTTATAAAGCTGCTGCTTCTCCTTCTAGCATCTGAATGCATTCTACAGGCACTAATTAACGAGGCTGCACAGCAAGCCTGAGAGGCAAAGGAAGGGAGAGTTTGTGGGGGTTCATTAAAGGACCAGTCACCCCTGCTGGGAGCCTCTCCCGTTTATTCTTTAATTTCTTAATCTATTCAGAATACAAGGACACACACCTGCACACATACATATGCACACATGTGCATAGGTGCATACACATGTAATACACACCTGCACACACGCCTCACACACAAACACATGAACACATACATTCACACACGTACACATGCACACACATACACATCAGTAAACATGACATTCACATGCCCACATATTCACTCACACACGTGCACACACATAAATGCACACATTCACATAGGCACACATGTGCACACATTCACATGTGTGCGTGCAGTCTCACACGCATACATGCACCCACACGTGCACACATTCACTCGCACACAAGCAGTCTCACACACGTGCTCACACACATTTACACGTGCACACGCGCATTCACTCAGGCACCCACACATTCACATGTGCACACATGTGCACATTCACGCGCACACATTCACACGCACACACGCACACATATCCACACATGTGCACCTACATGCACACACACCTGCACACATACATTCACACATGTGCACACATACATTCACTCACGTGCGCACACACATGCACACATGGATTCACACAATACATCACATATCCGCATCATAGACACATATATACACACATTTGCACACATGTTCATGCCCCAGCCCATTTCCAGCAGTCTCCTCTTATCCTGCGGAACAAACCTCTGCCAGTTCCATCCCTAGGATCACTGAGCCTTGTCCCCTGTGGCTTGGCCCCACAGCAGTGTCCAGTGGATGCTCCCTCCGAAGCCAGGAAGAAGCGGGAAGAACCTCTTCACCTCACCTCACATGACCCTCAGCCCACACCCCTTCTCTTCTCTTCTGTTCACTAAAAATCTCACTCCTGAATGTTCTGCACGCTCCAGCTCACATCATGTCCCCTGCTGTGGAGAGAGGCGCACGATGCAGGTTGAGTCTGGCTTCACTGCCAGCTCCCCACCAGGGCGGGGAAGCTCCAGCCCGGGTACCCACCGCCAGGAACTCTGTCCTGCTTTCTTTTGTTCTTGCATTTTGTTCTTGACATTGAGCAGACCGGGGCGGCCTGCCCTTGGCAATGGGCCTAGGAAGCCATGGTGCCAGGCTGCCCTCAGAGACCCTGTTGCTCCCCACATGCATCTGGTCCAAGCCTCCGAAGCCCTAAACTTCTTGCCTCTGCTATTCTGCTGCTGTTGCTCTTTCTTTCTCTCTCCCCCCGCCCCCACCCATGGGCACACAAGCCATTGAGATAATCGTGCTCCTTAGTTTATATAAACCTTCATCACTGGTTTGGACAAGGGCCCTTTAAAAGTTCTTATTTCCTCCCTTTTATGTCCGTGCCCCCCTCCCATTCCCCTAAAACCCCTCAGCCATTCTGTTCATTCAATGTCTTCTTGTTTGTGCTTTTACAAAATGTATGTTGTTTTGTGTGTGTGGATCTATATTAATTCTATGGAGGTGTAAGATGCACACAGAAAAGTATGCACAGTCCTCAGTGCACAACTCAGCGAAGTTTATAAACAGCTGTCTGTGTGTCTGCGTACGTGTGTTAACCCACATCCAGACGACAATCTAGAACATTCCCAACACTCCAGATGGTCCCGCATACACCCTGCTTAGTCAAACTAACCCGCGGGACCTCACTGTGCTGATTCCTGTCATTGTAGGTTTCTTTCTGGAATTTCACATAAACAGAGTGACTCGAAGCAGCATCTTCAGTCTTTTTTTTAATCTGGCTTTTTTCACACCTCATGGTGTCCATTTTTAATCACTGTGTAGTATTCAGTTGTATGAAACTCTGTGGACCTACCTTTTTTTTAGGACAGGGTCTCACTGTCCCCAGGCTACAGTGCAGTGGCTCTATTGTAGCTCACCGTAGCTACATCCTCCTGGGCTCCACCTGTCTCAGCCTCCTGAGTAGCTGGGACCACAGGTGCCCGCCGCCATGCCCAGCTCCTATATTTTTAATGTCTATGGTTCTGTGTTATGAATCCCATTCTGGCTTTGCCCCACTAAATGCTGTGTTTACGTGTCACCCTCATTGCCATGTGCATGTGTTATCTGCCAGTACTCCACACAGTGCTCCACCACGGCATCCGCCTCTCTGCCACCAGCTCCGCGGGCATGGACGCACAGGCCCCCATTGTGGCCTTGCCCCCATGAGATGCCCATCCTCTTCCTGCTCATTCATTCCCTTGTACTGCACTGCTGGGATTGGACAGGGCTCCATCCATGAAACCGATGACTTCAACAAAAACAAAACCTTTGTCCTCACATTTGGCAACAGGCAAATGGTCCGTGTGGAAGCCCAGGCTGCAGCCTCTGCTAACTCCAGGCTGTGCTGCCTTCACTGCCCCTCTGTGCCCTCTGACATGCCCCCACTCAAGGCTGAGGGTTCCTGTATCCAAGCAGGAAGGCCAGGGAGACTGGTTCCCAAACATCAACCGGGACCTCAGGGGCACCCAGGGAGACTGGTTCCCAAACATCAACCGGGACCTCAGGGGCACCCAGGGAGACTGGTTCCCAAACATCAACCGGGACCTCAGGGGCACCCAGGGAGACTGGGGCCCTGCACCTCAGAGCTTTGGATCCAGAAGGTCTGGGATAAGCCCTGGGAATCAGCATGGGAGCAGTGGCAGCCATCCTGTGGCCATGAGGGGAGCCGGCTGGAGGACAACCCAAAATGCTGAGGACAGCAAGAGGAAACACGGAAGGAACCTACGTCCTGAGCGACATTCCAGACCTGCTGCGCTCGCCAGCCCTGGAGCCACCTGCCACTGGCCTCGAGTGAACTGTCACACTGTTGTATTATTTCAGTCCCCAAGTAGGGTTTTCTGCTTCTTGCAGCCAGAAGCACTAAGTGATACCCACCCCACCCCTGCCAGGCTCTAAGCTCCCTGAGGCAGGGGCGAGGCAGGGTCTAGGCTTCACTCTGAGGGCCCAGTGGAGCCGCGGGTGTTCGGGACACGTGGGGTTTACTCCAGCAGAAACCGCCCTGGTAAAGGATGAGACCCAGGCAGAGCAAGCTTCCTGGCCTCTTGGTATTTTCTTTTGTGTCTGTCATTTCAGCAGCCTGTGAGCTCCTCCAGGGCAAGAAATCACCATCATGCCAAGGGTTCGTGATCCTGGGGCCCTGCACAGGGCCAGGCACACAGGGGGTAGGTAGCAAAGGCTTGCTGGGCGCTGTGAGAGAAAAGCAAGGAGAGGGAGGCATTGAGGAGCAACAGAAAAGGAGAAGCTGAAGGCCAGGCAGACAAGCAGTGAAGGAAAAGTTTGTGGAGCACGGTCTCTTCACACAGTTAATAAACGGCAGGGCCTAAACAAGCCCTTAGCCTGTCGCCACTGTGTTGGAAGCTTAATCAGCACTAATTCTTCTTCTTTCAAACTCAAATGCTACCCCCGGTGTGTTAATCTCTTCAGAAGTGTCTGCCAGTGTGTTCCCTAACCATCCAAGTGCCCTTCTCACATTTGTCCTTGCCGATGATGGTCTTCGCTTTGATTGTATCCCCTGGTGTATCTCCAAGCACAAGGATCCCGTCCCCCTGCCGGTGTGTCACCCCTGCTGTGCCCGATACAGAGAGACTGAAGTGGTCCATCCCACGGAGCCTCGCACGGGCAGTGCGGACAGTGCAACTGGGCGCGGCAGTCCTGGCTCTTTTGTGAATGGGGCATCGCTCCTCAGTCATCTCTGTTATGTTTCTTTAAAGTTGAGTTGAGCTCAGACAATTCCAGAAGCCCCTTTGAGCAGGAGCATTTGATGGCTCCCCACTCGCAGTTGCCGCTTCCTGAGACTGTTCTGGGAGGGGAACCAGGGTCCAGAGTCCTCAGTCCTCTGAGGTGTGCCAAGGCTTTCGGCACGGAGAACATCAGCCCAACTCAGGCGAGCCATGGGGCCGGCCCCTGAGGGCGGCGTGCCAAGGGAACAAGAGTTCCCAGTGAAGACCTGCCACAGTCATGAAACCATCACACCTCTAATTCCAGTTCTCTACCAGGAAACCTTTGCACCATTTCTGTACGTTTCCCCAATCAGGAGGAAGTAGATGAACTCTTCCTAAGGCCAGTGGGACTCATTTTAATCCCATCATTGCAGCTTGTAAGGCAATGTTTTCCCCACAGATTGCTTGAAAGAGAAGCGGACAGCAGCCCTGGCTCCTTCATTCATTGGCCCTGGGTAATGCCCACCCTGGAGTGACCCTCGACAGACACTTGACTGGCCCTCTCTGGCCTTTCTGGAATGCTGACCTTGGGGAGCTCAGCAAGCTGCCAGCCTGGACCAGGAGTCCTCCCTGGAAGCTGGCCTTGTTTTCCAAGGAAGCATTCAGCTTCCCACCGGGCTAGTCCCGCTCCCCCCTCTCCCTGCTGAGTTGCCTCCTCCAGGCTGCCGTGGCCTCTGCACTCAGCCCGGTGCTCTGAGCTGTGCATGGCTACATCTCAGCAAGTTTCCAACATCTCAAGTCAGCTGGCGCGGGGCCCCGGTATTTCTAACGGCAGGGCTTAGGGACTGATTTCCACAGCAGTGGTAGCCGCCCGGCCAGGTGCTCTGGTGTAATGTGATACTCGCACTGGCTCCCACCTCCTAGGGGCTCTGACCTGGCACAGCTGCAGAGGTGCAAGTCTAAGTGAAGCAGGGAGCTGAAAGGGAGGTTGCGGGGACTTCTGATTTCAAAGGGACTCTCCCAGAATTCCATCCTCCTCCCTCCTGACCTGCTGGGTGGCCAGGGCTCTGGCCAGCATGGCAACCGGGCCCCTCTGCTTCCCCTTGTCCTCTTCAGCCTCAGCTGACTGTGCAGTCACAGGCTCTCACCTGCTCCGAAAGGGATGGAAAGGCTGCAGATGGAGATGACCTAGAGACCAGACTCTCTAGCAACATGCCCCTACTAGACAGAGTCACTGCAAAGGGCAGTGAGGTGGCTTCTGAAGAGGGATGACTTGGTCGGCACCTGTCCACATGCCCAGCGAGTGCCCTGGAAACTCTGCCTTCTGGCCTGATGTAATGGGAATAACCAAGACCATCTTGCTGGCAGCCAGCTGACCACAGCCCAGCCCCATCCTCCATCTCTTCCTCTCCTTTGACAAGGCTTTTATACCATGGTTCATTCCATGTAAGGTCCATCTTGGCAGACAGCTTACCAGTGTCTTAATGTGTGTGGAATGTACATCCATCTGCATGCACTCACACATGCTTGCTTGGTACTCTGTGGTGCATTACATGTGTGTATGTGTGCGGTGCATTACATGTGTGTATGTGTGCAGTGCATTACACATGTGCATGTGTGTGGTGCATTACATGTGTGTGTGTGTGTGGTACGTTACGTGTGTATGGTGCATTACATGTGTGCATTGTGTGGTGCATTACATGTGTGCATGTTCATGTGTGGGCTCACTGCCTGCCACCCCCAGTCACTAAACCAACTATATTCCCTAAGCTTGCCTTGTTTCCCCTGGTGAGCTCAAACGTCTCATATTTGCATAGAACATAATGAGCTCACATGCACCATCTCCGACGATCCTCTCACCCAACACTCTTGTACGCAGATGACAAAATTAAGAGAGAAAAGGCCAAGGTTGCACAGCAGATCAGTATCAGGGTGCAGACTAAAAACCAGCCCTTCTGACTCATGGGTGAGGCTTGTTCCACTGCACCCACCAGAAAGGCCATGAAAGGTTCTCAGAGTAAATGGGCCCCTGGGCCCCGTAGCTGAGAACCTGCCCAATCTCTGTCCTGTGTTTTCTGCTCTGAAGAAGAGGGGCTGCACTCTTTGCTAGCTCTCCTGAAAGTAACGGTTCACCCATCAGTCCTTACACACGAAGAAAACTCACATGTACATGATAATGGATAGTGTTAGTGAGTGCCAGGCCCTGCACTGAGAGCTTTACCTGCCTCATCTCATTCACTACTCACAGGAGTGAGGCAGGCCTACCGCCCACATCATACACTTCTGTTCTTCCTCAATAACAATACCCAGCCCCTGACAACAGATCATGATTTGTTAGACAAGTTAGGATCATCCTGTTCCCATCTTTCCAGCCTCCCTTGCAGCTCAAAGTGATCACATGGCCCACCTCTGGCCAGTCAGAGGCACGGCCCTTCTCCTGTCCCCTACTGTGAGCTTGGACATGATGTTGAATGGCAGCAGCCATCTGGTGACAGTGAGGTGAGCCATGTGAGGATGAAAACCAGCACACAGAAGAGAGAAGGTGGAACGAAGGAGAACCTGGGTCTCTCCAGACATCATGGAGCAGCTGAGCCAAGACGGGCTGCTATCGGAACTGCCCACTCCAAACCTTGTTCTCACAAATCCCTATTTGTTAGCTGGATTTTCTGTTACTTGCAGCTGAATACATTTCTGCCTGACTCAGGTAGTATCATCCCCATTTTACAGATAAGAAAAACGACATGCTGTGGATAATGGGTTAGGAAGGGACAGTGCTGGGGTTCAAGCCCTGACCCCCAGATGCCAGAGTCTGAGCTCACGCACTGTCTGTGAGCAGTTGGTTAGGTACATTACTAATATCGATGAGATTACAAGGCAGATGCTCACCCACCTACCAGGCTAATTACAGACATGGTTTGTCTTCATATTACATAAAGCACAGTAACCCGGCTCTCAGGACTGCTGGCGCCCTCTCTCTGGCCACAGTCTTTTGGACAACGCTTCATGAGAATACGCAGACCCACCACAGCTGAGCACATGCAAACTCTTTTCAGACACAGGACCATCTGCAGCAGGGCAGGGAGGTCAGGACCACCTGTGGAGCACTCCAGCACCCCAGGCCCCTCCCACATACAGATGGGGGAAACTGAGGCCCAGAGCAGGGAGTGCTTTGCCCAAAGTCATACCTTGAGTTAAGGTCAGAGCTGAGACGTGATGCCAGGCCCCCTTCCCCAGGTGAGTACCCTCTCCATCCTATTAGGAGACTTCCAGGCCTCCTTCCCCAGGTGGGTGCTCCCTCCATCCTCCCAGGTAGTTTCCAGGCCACCTTCCCCATGTGGGCACTCCCTCTGTCCTCCCATGTGGTTTCCAGGCCTCCTTCCCCATGTGGGAGCTCCCTCTGTTCTCCTGGGTGGTTTCCAGGCCTTCTTCCCCAGGTGGGCGCTCCCTCCATCCTCCCAGGTAGTTTCCAGGCTGCCTTCCTCATGTGGGAGCTCCCTCTGTCCTCCCATGAGGTTTCCAGGCCTCCTTCCCCATGTGGGAGCTCCCTCTGTTCTCCTGAGTGGTTTCCAGTCCTCTTTCCCCAGGTGAGTGCTCCCTCTGTCCTCCTGGGTGGTTTCCAGGCCTCCTTCCCCAGGTGAGTGCTCCCTCTGTCTTCCCAGGTAGTTTCTAAGCCTCATTCCCCAGGTTGGAGCTCCTTCCGTCCTCCCATGAGGTGTCCAGGCCTCCTTCCCCAGGTGGATACTCCCTCCATCCTCCCAGGAGGTTTCCAGGACTCCTTCCCCAGGTGGGTGCTCCCTCCATCCTCCCAGGAGGTTTCCAGGTTTCCTTCTGCAGGTGAGTGCTCCCTCCTTCCTCCCATGTGGTTTCCAGGCCTTCTTCCCCAGGTGCATACTCCCTCTGTCCTCCTGGGTGGCTTCCAGGCCTCTTTCCCCAGGTGGGTGCTCCCTCCATCCTCCCGGGAGGTTTCCAGGCCTCTTTCCCCAGGTGGGTGTTCCCTCTGTCCTCCCATGTGGTTTCCAGGCCTCCTTCCCAGGTGGGAGCTCCCTCTGTCTTCCCAGGTTTCTAGGCCTCCTTCCCCAGGTGGGTGCTCCCTCTGTCCTCCTGGGTGGTTTCCAGGCCTCCTTCCCCAGGTGGGTGCTCCCTCCATCCTCCCCAGAGGTTTCCAGGCCTCCTTCCCCAGCTGAGTGCTCCCTCCTTCCTCTCATGTGGTTTCCAGGACTCCTTCTCCAGGTGGGTGCTCTGTCTGTCCTCCTGAGAGGTTTCCAGGCCTTCTTTCCCAGTTGGATGCTCCCTGTGTCCTCCCTGTGTGGCACCTCAGTGCACATGATCAACACAGACCTGGGATTTAGACCAGAGTCCTCATATGCCTGGTCTGTGTCCCTATGGTGAAGTTATTGTCTCCCAGGATGCTGGTGGGTCACTGGCATGGACAATGTCACACTGCCATTCTGCCTCCATTTCCCATTTCCCTATGCCTGGGGTCCTGCGGCCCGCCCATCATGGGTCACAACTTGGAGCACATGCTCTGGGCTCACAGCTAGCCCTCATTTGTTGGTTAAATAAGGAAATTGCTGGTACCTCTCAGCAAGCACTTCCTCTGGTCTTCCCTCTCAAAGCCTGTTCTTTGATGCTTGAATTTCCTCTTGAGGCCTCTCTGCACTCCTCCTGCACTGTGAAGCTGTGGAAACTCACCAACTCCTTTCACCACCAAGCCCTCCCCCAGCTCCTAGATCCCCACCAGGCCCTCTGAGTTTCTTCAGCTTCAGTCTTTACCTCCCCATACACTCACTGTCTCTCTCTCTTTCTCTCTCTCACTCACTCTCTCTGTCACACACACACATACACACCCTGTAACAAGTTACCTTCAGGGTATTTATAGACACGGCAGGTCCCCAGGGATCCACTCCTTGGCAGACTGCCTCTCCACATGGCCTAGCAGCAGCTGCCTGCCTGGCCAGCCTCTAATTAGCCCGCTGCCCTCTGCTCCTGGCTTTATGTGCCTCAGACTCTCCAGGCAGAAGGGACAAGTTGAAGGCCTGATGTCCCGCAGGCAGGAGACTGCACCAGCAAATCTAGGTTGACGCTAGGCTGATGAGCTTGTTTACCACCTGAATCCAAGCTGCGTGTTTTAGTGATGGGTGGGGAGGCAAGTGCATGTGTATGTCCCCGTGTGTGTGTAGTTGCAGGAGGCACGTGTTCAAGCAGGACCATTTTGTTTAATGACCTTATTTCTCACTTCCTCCTCCCTTGTTGAATAAAATTGGCTGGGCCCTGATTAAAGGCACTAGGAATCTGAAATGCACTCTCCCTTTGAAGCTCTGCAATCCAGCCAGACTGGCATTTTGGAGAGATGGTTGTTTGAAGGATGGGAAGCAGTCTCTGGGAGATGAAGAAATTGGGGGTGTCTGGACTCCTGGTTTTGCCCAGGGCAGCTGTACAGCCCCTCCCCACACACCTCTTTTTTCTCACTTATTTTTTTAAAATTTTGGTAAAATACACAAAACATAAAATTTACCATCGTATGCATTTTTTAGTGTAGAGTTCAGTGGTGCTAAATCCATTCACGTGCTTGTGAAACTGCCACCAGCCTCCATCTCCAGAACGCTTTTCACCTTGCAGAACTGAAGCTCTGCACCCGTTACACACTAACTCCCCACTGCTCCCTCCCTCCAGCTCCGGCACCCACGATGCTGTTTTCTGTCTCTGTGAATCTGACTGCTCTAAGAACCGCGTGTAAATGGCATCATACACTATTTGTCCTTCTGTGACTGCCTTATTTTGCTCAGCATAGTGTCCTCAAGCTTCATCCATGTTGTAGTGTGTCGGGATTTCCTTCCTTTTTAGTCCGTCGTGTGCAAGATCACGTTTTGTTAGTTTCTTGACACTTGGGTTCATCCATAACCCATGTCCATGTGTGGTGAGCACCTGGGTTGCTTCCACCTTCTGCTCTTGTTAATAACGCTGCGCTGAACAGTGGTGTATGGATGTCACAGATGGCCTTCATGATGTCCTCTGTGTTACTTGAGGATGAAATGAGCCGTCCGAGACACATTCGTAAAATGAAGGGGAAATGAAAGCCTTTGGCTACATGGGGGTTTCCAAACTGACCCTGGGGCCCTGGGGCTCCTGTTCAGGGGCCCTGGAGAGCAGAGGCGGAGACAGGCAAGACTCGGCCCAAGAGCCCTCACCTCCACCCAGGATCCACCCACTTTAATCCCTTTCATTCCAATCATCTCCACCTCCATGTGCTGAGGGACATACACAAGCTGAGGGACAAACACAGCACATATGCCTTGTGCTGAGGCATACAGCAGGGACAACAGCCCGCAGGCCCTGCCCTCATGGAGGCTGTGTGCTAGAGGAGGAGGCCTGGATCTGGCACACCCCGTGGTAGCCACCGAGAAGAAAGATGCTGCGAAGAAGGACAGGGAATGTCAGGGGTCGGGCAAGATGGTAGATCTTGTAGTCAGGGAAGGCTTCACTCATTCAAAAGGCGATTTAAAAAAAAAAAGATTTTTTAATGGAGAAGTAATTCATATACCATAAAATTCACCATGTTGAAGTTTTCCGCTCAGGGCTTGACAGGCTGTTCACAAAGACGTGCATCACCGCCACTCTCTCGTCGCAGGAAACTTCATCATGAAATGTGGTTTTCAAGACCTTGAGCTGGACATCTCCTGCTGGCTCCTCCAAGAGCACTCTCTGCTGTCCTGGGGGACTATCCCAGGGGGCCACATGGATGAGCTCCTAGGGTCCACCAGGTGGGGGCCCAGCAAGAGAGCGGGAGAGGTAAGAGGGAGTGGATGTTCCTTGCCCCAGCCCTTCCATGGGACTGCAGTGGCTGGCTGCATTCCTTGACTGGAGGCCACAGTGCTCCCCATACAGCTTGCTCTCTCCAGGGTCCAGTGGCTTTCCTGTCCCCGTCCTCAAGAATTAAGGGCTGGCTCCCCATGGTTTCCAGACCTGGCCACTGCAGCGTTCCCGCAGGATTCCATCCATACCTCTGTAAATGGCCTCTCTGGTAAACTCTTCTCAAGCTGCCCAATCCAAGGGTACCAGCTCTTCCTGCAGGAGCCCCGACACCAGACACTGATGAAAATGAGGGAGCCAGCCATGCAGGGGAAGCAGGCAACCGGAGCCACATCATGGTGCAAACTCCAAGGTCAGCTGCACCAAGGGGGTGCACCTGAGGAACCTAAGGAGCAGCAGGAGCCCCACTGTGGGCGGCAGCCTGAGCAACACGGTCAGGGAGAAACCAGGTCCAGCCAGGTAGGGCCTTGTGACTGTGATCAAAACTGTGGCTTTTCCTTTAATGGAGATGGGCAGCCCTGGGGGCTTCAGAGCAGAGAAGCCTCATGGTCTGACTCATAATTGAAAAGATCCCTTGGTTGCTGCGTTAAGAATAGATGAAGAGAGGCAGAGTGGGGAGGCACGCTACCAGAGAGGGCCTGCAGGAAACAGCCCTTACCCAAAGGACTCCTTGGAATGGTGTGGATGTAGGGGACACAGGATGCAGGCCAGCTGTTACCCGCCCCTCCAGACAGGGAAGGAGGCCTTCACTGGAGGCTCAAGGGGAAGTGAGCAGAGGCAGCCGCCTGGAGGCCAGCGGTGGCCTTGGGCTGAGGACTCATCATCTTAGTCTTGGGGCTTCCTCAGTATGTCTAAGGGGCTGCACAGGACCCAGGCCACCAGTGTGTCTGTGAAGGATGGAGCTTTCTAAGCAGCTCACACACTTGACACAGTCGAGAGAGGTGGAGCCTTTCTGGACAGGGTGCTGGAACCTGGTGGGGGCAGGCTCCAGGGGGTCAGGAGTTTGTATAATTTGGGTGTGGTTATCCATAAAAGATAATGCAAAATCACAAGTACAAAAAATAATGCAAATCACAAGTACAAACATAAATATAAAAGTGAATATTTATTATTGAAAGCAGGATCTGGAGGAAATATTTGCACAGCCATGTTGAGAGCAGCCTGTTTCACAGTAGCGGAAAGGAGGACACCATCCTGATGTCCACTGATGGGGAATGAATGCACAAAATGAGGTCTATCCACACAATGGAATGTCAATCAGCCTTAAGAAGGAAGGAAATTCTGGCCAGGCGTGGTGGCTCACGCCTGTAATCTCAGCACTTTGGGAGGCTGAGGCAGGTGGATCACAAAGTCAAGAGATCCAGACCAGCTTGATCAACATGGTGAAATCCCATCTCTACTAAAAAATACAAAAACTAGCCAGGTATGGTGGCAAGCACTTATAATCCCAGCTACTCAGGAGCCTGAGACAGGAGAATCACTTGATCCCAGGAGGCAGAGGTTGGAGTGAGCCAAGATCGCACCATTGCACTCCGGCCTGGGCGACAGAGCAAGACTCCATCTCAAAAAAAAAAAGGAAGGAAATTCTGACACACGCGGCACCATGGGTGAACTTTAAGGACATCGTGCTAAGTAAAATAAGCCAGTCATGGAAGGACAACTATGTGATAATTCTACTTCTGTGAGGTCCCTAGAGCCGCCAACATCAGAGACACAGAAAGTAGAATGGCAGCTGCCAGCCGCTGGGAAGGAGAAGGGGAACTGGTGTTTAGTGCGTAGAGTTTCAGTTTTACAAGATGAAGAGAATTGGAGAGATAAATAGTGGTGACGCTGGAACAGCACCATGAATGTATTTCATGACACTGAACCGAATACTTAAAAACATGATTAAGATGGTACATTTTACATTATGTGTATTTGGCCACAATGAAAAAGTTGAAAAAAGGTGAATATTTATTTAATTTTAAAAATCATTCCAAATTACAAATTTTAAGAAGCTGGTGAATGTCACCAAATTCACAAAACCTGGAGAAATTTCATTCTGTTATGTATTGATTGCCCAATGCACCTCTGCAGTATATTTTTCTAAATGTGTTTCATTTGTAATCCTCAAAACAGGTACAAAATGTATGTGAAATTAAGGCATTCATGGGAATCATTCAGATGCCTTTAAAAATTACTGCCACGTTGTCTTCAGCCACAAAACTGTGCCACCAGATTACTCTGATGCCACAACATTGACTTATTGATGAGTCTGTGTAGGAGTTTTGTCATCAGAACACTTGCTTCTGCGAGCGTTTCTCTGCGTTGGTGGCAATTTTGCGTACCATTTTGCTGGAACCACCAGATTTTGTGAGGATGCGGTATATCAGTTACACTAAGAAATAATCCGATTCGGGGACTGCGTAAAATCTGTGACTTCGCCCCCGGAGGACCCACGTGGTACCACTACTGGTTTGGGCTCACAAATACAAGACTTTTGATCAATTCTAATTTGTATAACTCTCATCAGAACACAAAGCAATGTGTGGTGAAATTACATTCTTTCAATATCAACTGTTTTCTACCAGGAGAGAACGTCTGTGCTGGCCAGGCCTCAGTGAGAACCAGATCCTCCTCTAACAATGTTACCTGTGTGGCCTTTCGCAGATTTTCCACAGATGAACTCCTGACTGTTATTTCGGTGGGTGTGGTGCGGTGTGTATGGCAGGGTCCAGCCTCTTTGCTGCACCCGCTGGTGGGATGTCCTGTGGGACGAGTGTTCCTGAAAGCCCTTCCTACACTTAGCGGGAGGTAACTTCTCTCTACGAGGAAGTCACTGTGAGCTGCGTCAGCAAATCCCACTAAGCCCAGATTAAATGTTTCCCCAGCTCACTTGCCTCTTAACTGGATCCCTCAAATGCCCTCGGCCACTCACACAGCATCCAACTAAGGGTCCATTGGGCAGAGAGAAGTTGGGATGCAAAGAGACAGACGTCTCAACCGGTTATGGTTAAACTATCTAACTTCTGCATATTTTACAAAAACGTTTGGCCACAGGAACATGTTGCTAGGGCCTCTCCGGGAAAGGGAGGAGTCTGCGGAGTCAGGGGCCCGGAAGCTTCATCAGCCGCATAGCAGATGCGTCCCCAGCCCTGCCCACGAGCAGCTGAGATGTGGAGGCATGGGCCCAGTGACTTCACCTATGACCTATGACCTGGCCCAAAGGCACCAGGCCTAGAAACACCAGCCAGAGTCCCACCTCTGCCCCTGGGACTCCCTGGGCCTCAAGAGCTTCTGCCAAGCAGGGACGAGGACCCGGCTTTCACTCCAGGATTCCTCCAAGAGTCAAAAATAGATCTGTGGGTCAATCAGAGCACTGTGCAAACTCAGCTGCTATCCTCCAGCCAGGGTCACAGCAAGCCCTTCCTGGGGCCAGCAGGTGGTTCCACAGGAACGGGCTGCCTCTTTAAAGCAGAGGGGTGGACTGCGGCCTGAGGGAAGGAGCTGCAGTCATAGTAATCTTGGGAGGCAGCTCTCCACCCCCACCAGCCCCTCCCTGCTGTCAGGAGAGGATTAGAGGAGAGGCCAGGGGATTAAAGGGGTTCACGTTGCCACAGCCTCTCCCTCAGTCCCTCTCCCTGATGCCTGCTTACTAGGTGGGGTGACTCTTCTGTGAGCTGCAGCTGTGGGGCAGAGAGAAGCCCTCCCCACCCACCACTGAAAGGCTGGGGACCCAGGCCCACCGGGGCCCAGAAGGCAAAGGCTTGGGGCATCTCTGGAGTCTGGAAGGCAGGCAGACAGAGCTCATGGTCTGTGGCTGCTCTGTCCTCCTTCCCCTCCCCGACCCCAGCAGGGCCATCATGCCTGCACCCCCCAGCTTCTACACAAACTCCAGCTCCACCAGCTGCTGGATTCCCCACCAGCCAAGGCCTGTGGCCTGGGCCTTCCTGCAGAAGACCTCGGCCCTCCTGTGGCTGCTGCTCCTGGGCACCTCCCTGTCCCCCACGTGGGGGCAGGCCAAGATCCCTCTGGAAACGTAAGCATCGCGTTCACCTCTACCCCACAAAACCCCGTCACAATTTCCTGCTTCCTTCCTGGGCTGGACCTCCACCCTCTGCCTACTCCTCCGACCCTGCCCTCCCTCTGGGCTCTTCCCCTGCAGCTGTGACTGCCCACTCTCTTGCTGTAAATCCCTTTTCTTCTCCAGCCTCCAATCTCTCCCAAAAGCTCTGTGGGTTCTGGAGTCCCACCTGCCCCTCCCCAGGAACCGGATGGCTTTAGGCAGAACTGATAATCAGGGCTGCTCTCTTCCTGGCCTGACAGGCAGCTTCTGGGGCACCTGCAGGGCGGGTGCTCCTTCAGGATAATCGCTGAGATGAGGTGGCCTGGAGGAGCCGGGTTATCTGACCGTCGCAGCTCCCCAGAGGATTTGGCAGGAAACTCGTATTTTGACTTTCCAAAAAGGTGAAGCAGTTCTGAACCCACAGAACGTCTCAGGCACATAGGAGGTGGCTTGTCCAGGAACTGGGGAAAAAAAATAGATTTTGGTGGCCATAGTTTTCCCTTTTTATATCTTCCAGCCTTGATTCTGTAGCCGGCCATTAAGGCCAACTCCAGGAAACAACCCGGTGTCAATCGTGTTTACCTTGGTGTGAATTTAAATCACTGTGCAACCTCTCCAGGGTGTCTGTGTTTTATGTCCCAGCTCTGGTGGTCCTAGGAAGGAAATTTCCAATACATGTGGGGAGCAGAGACTCCTAGACTGTGGGTGCTACAGACCCTGTCCTGTTTAATCCAGCCACTTGAGCCTGGCACCATGGCCAGGCCACCAGCAGAGCCACCTGCCAACAGCGTGTCTTAGCAGGAGTGGGGACAGGGATCCCAAATGATGCACTGTGCATGGGGTTAGCCTTCTGAGCAGTGGACTGGGTGGCATCGTTTCCCATTGAGCCACATAGCTCTCCTTGTTCCACGCCTGGCACTGAGCTGGGTGCTTCACAAATGACACCATGAGTCAGCCCAGCCTTTCAGTGGGGTCTTTTGTTATCCCTATTTTGCAGCTGAGGAAAACAGAGGCCCAGAAGGGTCGGGTGACTTCCCTAAGCTCACAAGACCAGGAGATGAAGGTGCTAGGATTCGAACCCCAGTCAGCCTGGACTGTGATTTCACTGTCACACCCACTGCCAGCCTGTAACGCTATCTGTTGCTGCAGGAGATGCTGAGAACAATTTTCATCCCCAGAACACACACCAGCTGATAGGAGAAGGCCAACTCCAGGAGTGGGCTGAGGGCCAAGTCAGGGTGGCTGGAATCCAGACCTTCGGGGAGGGGGCCCCAGTGCCCATCTACGCAGAAGCCCTGGGCGCTGCCAGAGATAACAGCCTACATCTGCCTGGCCAGGACTTGGCCCCATCTGTCCTGACTCCTGCCGAATCTCTCATCTCAGTCTTTCCCTCCCCGCTGCCGGGCTTCCGTCTCCTCCCAAGTCTGTTCTCCACAATCACCAGAGCCCTCCTCGTGCCCAATCCAGGAGATGTTCCTGGCCTGGTCTCCCCAGACCCTGTTGCCTGGGACACACTAGCCCCCCTCTCCTTGTATCCCAGTGCGTTGACTTCCATGGCACTGCACTCCGCTGGGTCTCCACAGGCACTGGGTTGCCTCTGTCATCTTCAAGTGTTCCTCCTTCTCTGCCTTCCCCTGAGGTTGGAAGTGCTCCCCAGCGTCTCTCGAAGCTCAGAGATCTCATGCTGCACACTCTTCTCGAGAGAGCCCCGCTGCCCTCGGAATTTCCATCCCTACCATTGTCCTAATACTCTCAGCCCTGTCTCTACCTGTTAGACATACTCAATGCTTACGGGCAGCTTTTCCTAAACATCATGTGAGGTGTTAAATTCAGATTTGTGTCTTTCAAGATAAAACACAGTCAGTGCCTTCCAGAGTTGTGCAGTACACAACCTGCCTGTTCATTGTAGAGCTCCCCTTGGTAGCTCAACAACGGGAACCTGACATTCAGCAGAGCCCAAAGTACACACATCACCCTTCGCCCTCCTCAGGGTGTTCCCCTGCCCTTCCTGATAGTCTTAATTGTATTCAGTAACAACACCATCAGCTCAACAACCCACACTGGAAACCTGAAAGTCATTTTTTACTCCTCTAAGCTCTTCTGTTCTCCCTACCTAGAATCGTTTTCCAGATCCTTCTGCAGGCTAACCTCTACCAAACTTCTAATCCAGAGCTCAGCAATCCCTCCCCCAGGAGGCCTTCTCTTATACCACTCTCCTCCCCAACCTTCATGGGCACCTTCAAACATGTACTATGCTATCTGCATGAGAAAGGTGTCCCTGCAAAGATGGGGACTGTAGGGTGGCTCCAGGCTGCCACATGGTAGGACCTTGATAAACATTGGTTGAGTGACTGAATGACTGCTGATCTTGAAATGATCACACAGGCAACCCACTTCTGCTCCATCTGGAGAGGCTCAGACCCAGTCCTGTGTGCCGCCCCCAGGACCTCACGAACCTGGCCCAGATGGTGGGATCGTGGTGCATTTCTGCGGCATGGGCAGGAGATCGGGGGTCCCCATAGGCTGACTACAGAGGGCGAAGTGTGGCCTCCTTGCGCCCTCCGGGTCTGTCCTGGCCTCGGCCTTAGCAGAGGCAGCTCAGGGCCTTTTCCTCTTGCACCCTTGCCTCATGCGGTCTCTGAGGTTTCAACAGAGGGTTTGGTAGCCCCCATTGGCCTTGAAGGGAGTACAGTGGAGGGAACGATTTGTTTAGAGGCCAGGCAGATCCTCCTTTGTCCTCAGGGTCCTCCGGCCCTGGCCTGAGCCTGTCCACTCTCTCCCTCCTTCTCTCCTCTCAGTCCGCCAGAGGCTTTCCAACCAGAGGCCCTGGAGGCTTGGGGTCAGGCTCAGTCCTGGGCTAGTCAGCCCCACCCCAGGACCCTCAGCAGGAGAGCCTGCTGAGGGCACTCACCACACAGCAGGGCAGCCACTGGGTCCTCAGGGTTCTCCGAGTCTCCTACCCAGCCCAGGCCTGTAGCTTTAGGGATAGGAGAAGGGACAGGAGCTCTTTTGTGTGTTTCTGGGCATACGTCACATGTGTATGTGTGTATGCATATGAATGTGTATACATGTATGCATGTGTGTATGGGCATGCACGTGTGTACATGGATGCATGTGTGTTCTGGTATGCATGTGTGTATGGGCATGCATGTTTGTACATGTATGCATCCGTGTGTACGGGTACATATGTGTGTGTACTGGTACGTGTGTGTGTGTATGGGTGTGCATGTGTATACAGGTATGCATGTGCGTGTATGGGTATGCATGTGTGTACGGGTATGCATGTATGTGTATGGGTATGCATGTGTGTACGGGTATGCATGTGTGTGTATGGGTATGCATGTATGTGTATGGGTATGCATGTGTGTACAGGTATGCATGTGTGTGTATGGGTATGCATGTGTGTACGGGTATGCATGTGTGTGTATGGGTATGCATGTGTGTGTACGTGTGCGTGCATTTCTTTTCTTGTTTGTTTGAGATGCAGTCTTGCTCTGTTGCCCAGGCTGGAGTGCAATGGCATGATCTCAGCTCACTGCAACCTCTGCCTCCTGGGTTAAAGCAATTATCCTGCCTCAGCCTCCTGAGTAGCTTGGATTACAGGTGTGGACCACCACTCCAGCTATTTTTTGTAGTTTTAGTAGAGACAGGGTTTCAGCATGTTGGTCAGGCTGGTCTCGAACTCCTGACCTCCTGATCTGCCCACCTCGGCCTCCCAAAGTGCTGCGATTACAGGTGTGAGCCACCGCTCCCGGCCATGTGTATGCATTTCTTATGCATTATGCGTCTGTATGAGTGGGCATGCATCAGCAGACGTCTGTGTGTAGACACTTGCTTTCTATGTGTGTGAATCTATATGTCTATGCATGTGTTTCTGTATTTGTGCATGTATGTGTGTGTATACACGTCTTTTCATTGCCTGGCAGAGTGAAGCTGTGGGCTGACACCTTCGGCGGGGACCTGTATAACACTGTGACCAAATACTCGGGCTCCCTCTTGCTGCAGAAGGTCAGTCACCACCTTCCAGGGAGCCCACAGGGTGGCAGAGGGCAGTCAGCTGTCAAAGCCCCCCAAATGCCAGTGCTGGGAGGGGCCTTGGGCATCCCATCAAGTCAGCTCATTTCAGCTGGGGAAACTGAGGCCCAGGGAGGTGAATGATTTGCTCAAGGCAGTGGGGGGGAGCTCAGGGGTGTGGTCAAGAGCACTGTGCCAGGTCCTCAGGGAGCAGAGGCTAAGGTGAAATTACACCTGCAGGAGATGTACGGGGTGGGGGTGGGATGAAGAATAAAGGGGAGATGGAGGGAGTGGGTGGAGTGGGATGCAGGCCTAACACCTGTGATGCTAGTGGAGCCTTAGAGGGCGTGTGCAGGGCCCTAGGAGGTGCTTGGGCCAGAGAAGGTGGACAGGCTGTGGCCTCTGTGCAGGGAAAGCTCCCATACTTCCGGCCGTCAGCCCCCTAGCCACGTTCAGCACCCGCCCTCTTAGTATGCATTGCTTTCCTCGCAGACTTATGGCTCTCTGATCTTCTTACCAGGTTATAAACAACTTCACTGTTCTCTAATATTTGTTACTCCCCGGAGCAGTTCCAATGGCAGCTCACACTCCTCTATTATTACCATTCACTAAGAGCTTCGTCGCGATTTCATTCCCACCACCAATCCATGAGGCACCATTTCCATATCACAAAGATCCCGAATCCCAGGCTTTTATGCCTGCATGTGACGACATGTCCCTCCTCATCTCCCCTGTCCACAGCCCACGAGCCTGTCCCTGGTGGAAGTAAGAGAAGCCAGGGTAGGCTGCTCCCCAGGCCCCCACAGGCCACTATAGCAATGAGAGCTAAGACCCCTCCTGCCCCTCACAGCAGGCTGCTATGCTGCAAAGCACCACAACCCAGGACGAGAAGCATAGAGCAATACTGATGCTGCCCTCTGGGATAAAGGCATTCTGTAAGATGTATGCATTCTAGAGCATTCTCTAAAGCTATGTAAATGTCACATATTACAGATGAAGGAACTGATCGACTGGCTTGCCTGTGGTCACACGGTCAATAAATTGCAGAGCTGGGTGAACATTGACAATACATACAGTCAGTGAGAGCTGGTCTCCACTGGGCCCAGGGAGAAAACTCAAACCCCGCTCCTAGGCTCATGGGTGGAGCTGCTGAGCTCTGTTGGGACGGTGGGAATTGAGGTCCACAGCCACGTGCACAGGGGCACATTCATAACAAGATGCCCCTTTAGGATCATTGAAGAAAGGTGAACTGTTGCCAGGAGTGGTTTCACAAGCCCTGGGAAGCAGTGTGGCACTGCACAAAGGACATGGGCAGGGATGCCTGGGAGCCTGGCCCCGTCAGGGGTCACCTGCTCACCTGGCTGTTGACCTTGGTCAAGTTCACTGACTTCTGTGAGCCTGGGTCCACTCCCCTGTTAAGGCTATAGGCACAGTATGTCTAGAGCACCTGGAACAGAGAGGACATTGGGAGAAACGCAGCTACACTCTCACTGGGGATGTTGTTCAAGGAGGAGAGAGCTGGGCCTCACCCTAGTTGAGTAAACCAGGCTCCAAGTGCTGGAATACACGTGCTGAGAGGATTGAGGCCGTGCATACACAGGTGCAGCCATCCTGGTACAAAAGCACATGCACCCATCTCTCCCACGTTCCCCGAACAGAAGTACAAGGATGTGGAGCCCAGTCTGAAGATCGAGGAGGTGGACGGCTTGGAGCTGGTGAGGAAGTTCTCAGAGGACATGGAGACCATGCTGCGGAGAAAAGTTGAGGCCGTCCAGGTACTCCAGGCCTGTGATCTGCAGGGCATTTCTCCGCAGCCTGTGATGCAGGGTGGCAGAGTAATCCTCCCCATGTCATGGCCCTGCATCCTCCCACCCTTGTGACCCTTTCCTATCTTACAAGATGCCACCTTGTACCTCCATCAGGCAAAAGACCCTTACTCCAAGAATCCCTGTAAAAGAGGAAATGATAGGAAGCAGGAGAGGGGAGGGGCTGGAACTGGAGCTCCGCCCTGAGGTGCCAATGCCCAGCACAGCCAGGTCAGCCTGCAGCATTGAGGGGAACTCTGAGTCACCAGGCCACACTCAGTGATCGGTACAGAGCATGGCACGGAGTGAGCACCTAGGAATTGCTTTGAGAATGGATGGACAGATGAGAAAGAGGGTGGGAGGTGAGCTAGCTAGAGCCCGCAAAGCCAAATTCCCACCCTCCTCTCTCCTCCTTCCATTTGCTCCTTGTTCCTCCCTTCTCCTCATTCAGCCATCAGGACCACCTTCATGGCTCCCAAGTGCTCTGAGGGCCACCTGGGCAGCAGAGGTGCTTACAGGGGTGGACCTCATGCCCAGGTGACTGTTACTGAACATCCGTGAAGCCTGGTGGGGCCCAGAAGAAACAGAAGGTGTCCCCTTCCCTGAGATGAAGTGTCTGCACTGATGCCTATGGGGACCTGGGTGGTATAAACCAGTAGATACAGTGTGATTGGAGAGACGCAGTCCCCTGCTCCATCCAACCAAGAATCGGACCATCCAAGACCAGTGCAGTCCCTGAAAGGACTCTTAAGACCAGCCAAAAAACAAGGAGAGAGCAGATGGGGTTGGGAGTGGTTGGCTGGGTTGGGAGGCTGAGGCCAGGACCAAGCTGCAGGGGAAGAAACAGATAAGGCAGGTGAACTGCAGCCTCCCCAGTGTGCTGTCTTTCCCCCCCATCCCCATCACAACCCCTGCTCTGGGAGGAGGCCAGGGTCAGGGTTGCTGGGGCCTTCTTTCCCATGTGTTATAATGCACAGCATTTCTGCAGGCTTAGGGGCAAGGGATCTTAGCATCAGGAACCAATGAGAAGATGCCTGGGGACCCAAGCACCTATCCCGGGTCCCTGAATCACACACCACAGCAGGAAGGCATGAGCCTCACACACAGCCTGGCACCCGCAGTAATACCTGCCTCCTTCAATCAGTGAGCACTGTGTACACAGCCTCCCTGGGCTGAACACAGAGAGTGGTGTATGAGACTTGGCCGACTCAGGTGGGCGTCGGTCCTTGCATCACTAGAGTAGGAAGCAGTCCTGGGACACCCCCAGAGGCTGGGGCTCTCTGTGCCAGGCTCTCTGTGCCCTTCCACAGCCTCAGACACTAAAGAAGTGCTGCTCTGCGGACTTCCTCTGAGCACTGGTCCCTGCCCCTGCTGTGGGTGGGATCTGTGGGGGTTGCAGACCTTCTGTGAGGGTGTGCATGGGAAGTTTCCTGCAAAACAGCCCTGAAATGAGTTTTTCCCTGTGGAATTTCTTTATCCTAGGATCTGTAGGCTGGGAGTGGGGAGGCAGGGGTTATCCTACCCAGTTTACAGCTGTGTAACCAGAGGACCAGGGAGGCTTAGTGGCTTGGCCCTGACAAAGCCAGAACAGGAGCTTGGGTCCTCTGAGTCCCAAAGCACTTCCCCCACCCTGACTCTTTGTTGCTGGCCTGCTCTTTAAAAAAGATTTGTACTGGCCGGGTGCGGTGGCTCACACCTATAATCCCAGCACTTTGGGAGGCTGAGGCAGGTGGATCATGAGGTCAAGAGATCGAGACCATCCTGGTCAACATGGTGAAACCCTATCTCTACTAAAAATACAAAAATTAGCTGGGCTTGGTGGCGCACACCTGTAGTACCAGCTACTTGGGAGGCTGAGGCGGGAGAATTGCTTGAACCCAGGAGGCGGAGGTTGCAGTGAGCCGAGATCATGCCATTGCACTCCAGCCTGGGTAACAAAAGCGAAACTCGGTCTCAAAAAAAAAAAAAAAAAAAAAAGATTTGTATTGTGCTAAAATCCATGTAACATAAAATTGACCATTTTAAAGTGTACAATTTAGTGGCATGAAGTACATCCATAATGTTGTACAACCATCTCCATCATCTAGTTCCAAACTTTTTCATCACCCCAGACAGAATCCAGGTATCCCCCTCCTCTTAGCTCTGCAACCACTAATCTGCTTTCTGTCCATGGATTTGCCTATTGCAGGTATTTCACGTAAATGAAATTATACAATACATGACCGTTTGTACCTGATTTATTTCACTTAGCATAATGTCTCCAGGGTTCATCTATGTTGTTCTGTGCACTAGCACTTCATTCCTTTTTAGGGCTGCATAATATTCCATTGTATGCATAGCCTATATATTGTTTATTAGTTCATCAAATGGCAGACATGTGAGTTGTTTCCACCTTTTGGCTTTGAATACACACACACACACACACACACATATTTTAGTAGACTTATTTTTTAGAGCTGTTTTAGGTTCACAGCAAAATTTAGCAGAAAGTACAGTTTTCATACATCCCTTGTTGCCACAGCCTCCCCCACTATCAGCATCATGCATCAGAGAGGTAGATGGGTTATAATCCATGAGTCGTCATTATTCCAAAGTCCATAGCACACATTAGGGTTCACTCTCGTACATTCTGTGGGTTTTGAAACACGTGCAATGACATGCATTCAGTATTACAGTATCAGACCAAAACATTTCACTGGCAGCCACTTATCTTCTCCATCTCCCCAGTCATGCCTTTTCCAGATTGCCCATCGTTGGGATCACACGGTGCACGGCCTCTTCCAAAGGGCTGCTTTCACTTAGCCATATGCATGGCCTTTTGGCTGCTGTGCACAGCGTGGCTGTGAACATTCATGCCTAAGTTCTTGTTTGCGTCCCTGTTTTCACTTCTTCTGGGCATACACCCAGGAGTGGAATTGCTGGTCACGAGGTGACTGTTTCACTTGCTGAAAACCCACTGGGCTCCTTTTACCCATTCTCCCTACCTCTGTGTTCCCGTCCCTCAGAATCTGGTGGAGGCTGCCGAGGAGGCCGATCTGAACCATGAATTCAACGAATCTCTGGTGGTGAGTCCCACTCCTGGCACTGGTGACGGAAGGCCAGGATCATCTGAGTACCAGATATGGGGGTGCCAGTGTAGGGTGGCAATCCACTCATTCCATAGACATTTACTGCTCACCCCCCACAGGCACAGCAATGTGTTAGCCTCTAGAGCAGGACTTGTTCTTGACCTCAAGAAGTTCAGTCGGATAACTCCAGTATAAGGCACATAAGAGTGCCTACAAATGGGTGGGTGGAGCCTCAGGAGAATGCAGCCTGGAGAAGGGGAGGGCAGCCCCAAAACCCCTGCAGATGTGGGTGGGGGTGAGGTGCGTGCGGGGAGGCGGAGAAGGGGGAGGCTCAGTGGGATTTAGGCAGGCAGGGCCTGGAAAAGGGGCCTTTAGTCACAGCGGAAGAAGACACAGAAATAAGAAAACGCTAAATAAGTAATCCTAAATTTAAACCGACTAAATCCCCCAATCAAAAGATACAGCCAAAACCCATCGGTATGCTGCACCCAAACCAGGATACACAAAGACTCAAAACAAAGGGATGGAGAAAGATTTACCAATCAAATGGAGAGCAAAAATAAATAAATAAATAAAAAGCAGGAGTTGCAATTCTTGCCTCTGATAAAATAGATTTTAAAGCAACAAAGATGTAGTGGTAAAAGGATCAATGCAACAAGAAGAGCTAACGATCCTAAATATATACGTACCCAATATAGGAACACCCAGATACATAAGACCTATAAAGAGACTTAGACTCCCTAGACTCCCACACAATAATAGTGGGAGACTTCAACATCAATATTACATAGATCAATGAGACAGAAAATTAATAAGGATATCCAGGACTTGAACTCAGATCTGGAACAAGTAAACTTAATAAACATTTATAGAACTCTCCACTTTAAATACACAAAATATACACTCTTATCAGCACCACATCACACCTACTCAAGGTTTAAATGAAATATTAGTTGGCCATTATCCAGCACAATTACTGGCATAAAAGAGGTTTTCAATACCCATTTTTAGAATAAAGCAACACTCCCATTCTCTCTCCCTCTCCCTCTTCCTCTTTTTTCCTCTCCTTCATTCCTTTTTTTTTTCCTTTCTTTCTCTCTCTTTTTTTTCTTTCTTAAAAAAAAAAAGAAAGAAAGAAAACCGAAGGTTGGTTGAGTAAACAGTGGGCCCTGGGCCCTGTGTGTCCGGAGGCTGGTGACATGGACAGTGGCCTTGGACAGTTAGCTGAGGGGGTGGGGGCAGCCTCGGGTGCCAGTGTAGGGGTCTGACCTTTCCCAGCAGGGAAAGGCAGATGCAGAGGGTTTGAGCAGGGCAGGGGCGCGACTGGGAGTGTGCATGGAAGACCAGTGTGGGCGCAGCGGCGTGAGGAAGAGCTGGGTGTGGGGTGCAGGAACCTGGCGTAGGGGTGGGCGTCGGGTGTCTGCGAGGCAGTCCTGGGGGGTGTTCTGATGTAGAGGAAATGGGCCTGGGCTCCACAGGAGGCAATCCTAGCGCACCCTCAACACGGCGTTGGAGAAACCGAGGGCAGCTGTGGCTCCTCCCCACGGGACTCGGAAACTGGGCCCTGTCTGAGGCCAAGGCTGCAGGCCCCAAGACCCTGCAGGCACCATCCTGGGGCTCTGGGACCTTCCTGGCCAGCGAGAGTGGAGGGGGTTATGGGCTTCTTGTCTGTATGTGTCCTTGACTCCGCGGCTGCGTGTCTCCGCTCCGCCTTGGCCGTGTCCACACATGCTGCACCAAGTGGGAGACTGAGGCAGCGGTCAGGATAACTGTCATCAAACGCCCGTCTCATGCCCCTCGCGCCGGCCTCCTGGATATTCTTGTCCCGAATTGCCCTGACCATCGCCCAGAGCACCGCTGCAGGTGCTTGTGTGGATGCTGATGGCCGGCTGGCTCCGGCCCTTGCGTCCTCTCACCTGCGCGGTTTCTCGTTCTCTCTCTCCGCGTGTCCCTGTGCTCTGGACATCTCCGTGGGCCTCACTCGTCCACCGCAGTTCGACTACTACAACTCGGTCCTGATCAACGAGAGGGATGAGAATGGAAACTTCGTGGAGCTGGGCGCTGAGTTCCTCCTGGAGTCCAACGCGCACTTCAGCAACCTGCGGGTGAACACCTCCATCAGCAGCGTGCAGCTGCCCACCAACGTGTACAACAAAGGTAGCCGGCGTGCTCAGCTCAGGCACACTCACCAGGCAAGCCCACCTACCACACCCACCAGGCACGCTCATCAGGCACGCCCACCCAGCACACTCATCAGGCACGCCCACCCAGCACCCTCACCAGGCACACCCACCAGGCACACCCAACAGGCACACTAGGCATGCTCACCAGGCACACCCAACAGGCACACTAGGCACCCTCACCAGGCACACTCACCAGGCATGCCCACCAGGCCCCATCATGAGGCGCGCCCACCAGGTACACTCACCAGGCCCAATCATGAGGCACACCCACCAGGCACATTCATCAGGCACACCCACCATTTTCCTGAGAAGCCCTGAAGGACCATCATCTTCTATAATCTCACACTTCAGACCCCGATATTTTAAATGGAGTCTACATGTCTGAAGCCTTGAATGCTGTCTTTGTGGAGAACTTCCAGAGAGATCCGACGTTGACCTGGCAATATTTTGGCAGTGCGACTGGATTCTTCAGAATCTATCCAGGTAAGGACATGGAGTGGCATCTCCATGACCTTCTGGGATTTTTCCTCAGAAATAGGGCAATAGGGGCATTGAATATGGGCCCTGGTACTCAGGTACCCAGTGAATGGGGCTGGTCTTCCTATCCCAAAGCATCTCCAGCCCATGTTTTAGCCCTTCTCACTGCATGATATGCACATATAAAGGGCTGTGGAATGAATGAATGAATGAATGAATGAATGAACGAAACCATCAAACATCATGAAACCAGTCAATGAATGCCCACATGAAGCTCCCGTCCCATGAAAAGTACTTTGGGAGATAGAGAGCAGGATAAAACAATTCTTTACCGTTAGGACTTTACGTCCCAATTAGAAAAATAAGGCACACTTGCCCAGAGTATTCAGCAGCAATTCGGAAAATGGCACAGGCCACTCTGTGGCTAGTGGCCAACTTAATAAAGTCCATCAATAAAAATGGAAAACACAAAGTACAAAGTTTCCAAGAGTTCTACCTCTTTTTGGTTCTCATTAAAATAAGTCAGCTATTTGGGGTTTCTTGAGGTTCCATATAAATTTTAGAATGAGTTTCTCTTGCTCGTTGAGATTTTGATAGACCACCTTGCGCAGTACTGACATCTTAACAATATTAAATATTCCAGTCCATGAATAGGGAATGTTTCCATTATTTCTGTCCTTAATTTTTTTCAGCAATATTTTTTTGTTTTCATTGTACAAGTCTTTCACCTCTTTGGTTAAGTTAATTCCTAAGTATTTTATTCTTTTTGATGTTATTGTAAATAGGAAGTTTTTTATAATTCTCAGATTTCTCATTGTTAATGTGTAGAAATGCAACTAATTTTGTTTATTGAGTTTGTCTCCTCATACTTCGCTGAATTTATTTATTAGATCTAAAAGTTTCTTGTGGAATATTTAGGGCATTCTATATATAAGATCATCTGTGAATAGAGATAATTTTACTTCTTTCTTTCCAGTTTGAATGCCATTTATTTCTTTTTTATGCCTACTCATTCTGGCTAAAACTTCCAATACTATGTTGAGTAGAAGTGGCAAAAGTGGACATCCTGGTCTTGTTTCTGATAATAGAGGAAAAGCTTCTAGTCTTTCACCATAGAGTATGATGTTTGGGATATGGTTTTCCATATATGATTTTTATATCAATTTCATTCTATTGCTGTTTTTTTTAGTGTTTTTGTCATGAAAGGATGTTGAATTTTGTGAAATGTTTTTTATGCATCCATTGGAATGGCCATGGAATTTTTTCCCTTCATTATTTTAATGTGTATATTATTACACTGATCAATTTTCATATGTTGAACCATCCTTGCATTCCAGGAATAAGTCCTATTTGGTTATGGTGTGTAAACCTTTTAATATGCTCTGAAGTTTTGCTTGCTAGCTTTATGTTTTTATCCATTCTGCCTATCTCTGTGTTTTGACTGAAAAGTTTAATCCATTTATATTTAAAGTAATTACTAATGAGGGAATTATTTCTGTCATTTTGCTGTTTGTTTTCTACATACCTTAAGCTTTTCCCCCCTCATTTTCTGCATTACTGTCTTCTTTTGTGTTTAGAGATTTTTATAGGAAAATGCTCAAATTTCTTTCTCATTTCTTCTTATATGTATTCTATAGTTATTTTATTTCTGGTTACCAGTGGGATTACATTTAATATCTTAAAATTATAACATTCTAATTTGGATTTGTGCCAGCTTAACTTCAATAACATACAAAAACTCAGCTGCTTTACAGCTCCTTATCTACCCCTTTTGATTGTGGATAAAATTCCTTCTTTGTACATTGTGTGCCCAAAACCACAAACTAATAATTCTTGTTTTTTAATTTTTAATTTTGTGGGTATATAGTATGTGTATATATTTATGGGGCATATGAAATATTCATACAATATGTAATAATCACATCAGGGCAAATGGGGATCCACTGCCTCAAGCATTTATCCTTTGTGTTACAAACAATCCAATTATGCTCTTTTAGTTATTTTAAAATGTACAATTAAATTATTACTAACTATAGTTACCCTGTTGTGCTATCAAAAAGAAGATCTTATCCATTCTTTCTATTTTTTCATACCCATTAACCATTCCCCTTCTCCCCAACCCTATTACTACCCTTCCCAGCCTCTGGTAGGTATTATTCTAATTTTTATCTCCATGGGTTCAATTGTTTTAATTTTTAGTTCCCACAAATAAGTGAGATGTGAAGCTTGTCTTTCTGTGCCTGACTTATTTCACTTAACATAATTACCTCTGATTCCATTCATGTTGTTGCAAATGACAGAATCTCATTCTCTTTATGGCTGAATAGTACTCCATCAGGTACATGTACTAATTTACTTTATCCATTCATCTAATGTTGATGGACATTTAGATTGTTTACAAATCTTGGCTGTTGTGAATAGTGCTGCAATAAACATGGGAGTGCAGATATTTCTTCAACATACTGATTTTCTTTCTTTTTGGTAGATACCTAGCTGTGGGATGGCCAGATCATATGGTAGCTCTATTTCTAGTTTTTTGAGGAACCTCAAAACTGTTCTCCATAGTGGTTGTACTAATTTACATTCTCACCAACAGTATATGAGTGTGGGTATTTCTCTACGTCCTTGCCAGCATTTGTAATTGCCTGTCTTGGTCAGGAGTGGTGGTTCATGCCTGTAATCCCAGCACTTTGTGAGGCTGAGATGGGTGGATCATCTGAGGTCAGGAGTTCAAGACCAGCCTGGCCAACATGGTGAAACCCCATCTCTACTAAAAATACAGAAAAAAAAATAGTGAAGTGTGGTGGTGGGTGTCTGTAATCCCAGTTACTTGGGAGGCTGAGGCAGGAGAATCACTTGAACTTGGGAGGCAGGGGTTGCAGGGAGGTGAGATCACGCCATTGCATTCCAGCCTGGGTGACAAGAGCAAAACTCTGTTTAAAAAAACAAACAAACAAAAAACAGATTATTAGTTTTTTTTCCCCAGAGAGTTTGAACTTTTTATATATTCTGGTTATTAATCTCTTGTCAGATGGATAGGAGTTTGCAAATATTTTCTCCCATTCTGTGCATTGATTGTTTCTTTTGCTGTGCAGAAGCTTCTTAACTTGATGTGATCCCATTTGTCAGTTTTTGCTTTGGTTGCATGTCCTTGTAGGGTATTACTCAGGAAATCCTTGCCCAGTTCATTGTCCAGGAGAGTTTCCCCAATGTTTTCTTTCAGTAGTTTTATAGTTTCAGGTCTTAGATTTAAGTATTTAATTCATTTTGATTTGATTTTGGCTTATGGTAAGAGATAGGAGTCTAGTTTAATTCTTCTGCATATAAATATCCAATTTCCCCAGCACCATTATTGAAGACTGTCCTCTCCCCAGTGTACGTACTTGGCACCTTTGTAAAAAAAAAATGAGCTCACTGTAGATGTATGGATTTATTTCTGTGTTCTCTCTTCTGTTCCGTTGGCCTATATGTCTGTTTCTATGCCAGTACCATGCTGTTTTTGTTACTATAGCTCTGTAGCATAATTTGAAGTCAGGTAATGTTTTTCTCCAGTTTTGTTTGTTTTGCTCAGGATAGCTTTGGCTATTCTGGGTCTTCTTTGGTTCTATATACATTTTTGAATTGTTTTTTCTATATCTGTGAAGAATGTCATTGGTATGTTGATAGGAATTGCATTGAATATGTAGATTGCTTTGGGTAGTATGGACTTTTTCTTGAACTCCCAACCTCAAGTGATCTGCCCACCTTGGCATCCAAAGTGCTTGGATTACAGGCATGAGCCACCATGCCCAGCTGGACTTTTTAGCTATACTAATTCTTCCAATCCATGAACATGGAATATCTTTCCATTTTTGTGTGTGTCTTCTTCAATTCCTTGCATCAATATTTTATAGTTTTCATTGTAAGAGATCTTTCACTTTTTTGGTAAATTTCCAGGTATTTTATTTTATTTGTGGCTATTGTAAATGGGATTATTTTCTTGATTTCCTTCTCAGGTTGTTTGCCATTGGTGTATAGAAATGCTAATGATTTTTGTTTGCGGACTTTGTCTTTTGCAACTTTACTGAGTTTGTTTATCACTTTCAATAGTTTTTTTCTTTTTGTCTCCTCTGACTGCCTGTTTTCAAATAACCTATCTTCAAGCTCACTAATTCTTTCTTCTGCTTGATCAATTCTGCTGTTAAGAGATTCTGATGCATTCTTCAGTATATCAGTCACATTTCTCTCTCTCTCTCTCTCTCTCTCTCTCTCTCGCTCTCTCTCTCTCTCTCTCTCTTTGAGTCAGAGTCAGGCTTTGCTACCCAGGCTGGAGTGCATTGGTGTGATCTCAGGTCACTGCAACCTCTGCCTCCTAGTTCAAACAATTATCCTGCCTTAGCCTCCCAAGTAAGTTACTGGGACTTCAGGTGCATGCCACCACACTGGCTACTTTTTGTATTTTTTTAGTAGTGACAGATTTTCATCATGTTGGCCAGGCTGGTCTCAAACTCCTGACCTCAAGTAATCTGCCCACCTCTGCCTCTCAAAGTGCTGGGATCACAGGTGTGAGCCACAGCACCCTGCCTCTGTTTCATTTTTCAACTCCAAAATTTCTGCTTCATTCTTTTCAATTATCTCAATTTCTTTGTTAAATTTATCTGATAAGATTTGGAATTTCTTCTCTGTATTACCTTGAATTTCTTTGCATATTCTAAAAACATCTATTTTTAATTCTCTGTCTGAAAAGTCACCTCTCTCTCTCTCTCTCTCTCTCTCTCTCTCTCTCTGTCTCTCTCTCTCTGTCTCTCTCTCTCTCTCTGTCTCTCTCTCTCTCTCTGTGTGTCTCTCTCTCTGTCTGTCTGTCTCTGTCTCTCTCTCTCTCTCTCTCAGATTGCTCTCTGGTGGCTTATTTAATTTGTTTGGTGAGATCAGGTTTTCCTGGATGGTCTTGAGGCTTGTGGATGCTCTTCAGTGTCTGGGCATTGGAGAGTTAGGTATTTATTATAGTCTTCACCGTCTGGGCTGTG